TTAAAAATGTATTCTGCATGTATTCTGAATATGTAATTTTTATGTAACAGAGTATGTTACTGAATACATGTAGGAAAGTGTACTCAGTATTCAGCCCTCACTACTTTTCCAAAGCATTCTGTCAAATCTTGGTGGTTTTACTGTTTATGGTAGGTGACTTAGCTTGCTAAGCTTGTTAGCTTGTTGGCTAACAGCAGCTGCACACAAGACACCTCACTGTTGCCAACCACAGCAGTTATCTTTTTTCTACAGATCAATGTTCAACATAATACTCCCATTGTAATTATGTTCATTTTTATGTTGTTACTGTTTATAGTTAGCAAGTTAGCAAGGTTGCTAACTGAACCATCATGAGCATAAAGCCCATTTCACTATGTGACAGAACTGCATAAATCTCAACTGACTGCTGCTAAACACACTTCATTCAACTCAACAGGTCATTAGCAATCCTTTCTTGAGCCACGTCTGTTTTGGTACAGCAGCAAAAACACCGAACACATGGTGATAGAAGCTAAACTGTAGACTACACTGAGACACGGCACTCATGGACTCTGATCAGAGACTCTGTCCCAATTAGCACACTTGCAGTGTAGCGGTGTGTGGATTGTTCATGTGCTAATATAAAACTTTTTGTCATGATAATTGCCTAATCTTTTATAAAGGTTTCCAACATTTTCACAATATTTATTTATTTAAAAAAAAAACCCAAACAAACTACAAATTGGAACATGAAACATACTACTGATACCTGCAATGTACAGCCATAAATAACAACACATCCTGAGCTTTATCATGTAATCATGTCACATCTACAGTTATGTGCAAATGTTTAAACACCCCAGTCAAATTTCATTTTGTTACACATTCTCTGCAGCGAACAAACATAAATATGGCAATTTTCTGTAAATGTTAGTGCATCATTTCTATTTATTTGCTGAGTTTAACACAACGGAAACAACATAAAATATAAAATATGACTTTTGCACAGGGCCACATTTTATTGTTTATTATTTATTTCAATGTGTTAAAATCAGCAAATAAACAGTAATTGTGCATTAAGGTGTGCCAAAGCTTTGTTCTCCGTAGAGGATGTTAACCTATTTTCACTTAGAAAATCAACAAACATGTAATTCGACCAGGGGTGCTGGCTTCACAGTCAGTGAGAGCATCATGTGTCAAACTAACAGTGGTGAGTTTTTGTCCACGTAGTCATCAATACTTTATGGCTCAAGCCTACATGTGGACATTTGACAAAGAAAGCTTGTTACAAACATTCAGGTAACATTTTTACTTTGTATGTTGCTACTTTACAGTGAATATATCAATAAATATTTCAACTTAACCCTCTGTGGTCTAAAGGCATTTTCTAGATTTTTGCACATCTTCTTAAATTCACCTTTAAAGACACTTGCATTTAAGATAAAACCCAAATGTTCCATATCAAAATGCTCCATTATCTTTGTCGCTACTTTCCAAAACTGCTGCAGCAACTTCGACATCAGTAAACTCTTTTTCACGCCGTTTCACGTCTCCGATGTCAACTGAATGAAGAATGAAGGATTTTCAACGTAATGGGTAAATCCTTAGTGATTTCCCGAGTGTCCATTGGTCAGTTTCTCACAAAATGTAGGTGGGCACATGAATCCACCAATTACACACTGTGAGAGGCAGATGATGTGTTTCTCAACCCCTCTTCACAGCCTCATAATTCCAGATCTGAGTCACGTATGATCTTGCGATAGGATGAAATTGAAGTGTTTGCTTAATTTCTATCCTACTTCCATACTACCTAGCTAGTGTGGTAGTTGGTAGGGCCAGCTTGCATGCACTGCATGTTTAAGATCCACCCACAGAGGTTAAGGGATTGTGAGGGCCATCCCAAAAAGTTCAGTTTGTTTTTCCTGAAGTGGTTCATGGTGGATTTTAAGGTATGTTTTGGATTATTGTCCTTTTGTATAAGCCAGCCTCCTTTCAGCTTCTGCTTCTAGACTGTGTTACATTCATTTACAACATTTGCTGAAATCTATTCTTTTATCTTTCAGTGGAATATGTTTCCTATGCCACTGGCTGCAGCACACACAACCCCAAAGCAAAACAAATCCAACTCCATACTTAACAGTTAGCAAGGTGCTCTTTTCATTAAAAGCTGCTACTATTTTTTTTCTCCAAACATACCTTTAGTGATTGTGGCCAAAGAGTTCTGTTTTACATAACTCCACAGCACTTGCTTCCAAAAAAGCTCTTATCTGGTTTTGCATATTTCAGGTGTTGACCTTTGTGATGAGCTCACAGGTAGTTTCCTTCTGATGACTCTTACATGCAGATCACGATTGTGCAAGCAACATCATACAAAGCAATTTGTGTTTACATTTTCAGACATTATTTTTTAAAATAGTTTGTTGCAAAGGTCGTGTTCGCTATATGTAATTTGGCCAGGGGTGCCCAAACATTTGCATTCAATCATAACTGATAGGGCTTATAAAAACCTGCACTAGAAACTGGACTTTAGGTCCGGATTTGAAGACTTTTAAAGACTTCTCATTTCGGAATTTCTCAATTATTTTAGAAACATCTACAGCTCTGTTTATCACTGTTCATATGTTTTGGTGTATCATTATTAAGGTAATCCAGACTTGAATGGCAGTGTATGTACATTATTATAAAGTCCGCTTCTGCTCCCAGGTCGGTGTCTGGCCAATGTTTTCATTGCAAATGAGCTGGATGACGAAATGTACAAACTCAGGCTCTTATTTTCCACTGCGCCGGCCCACTCCGAACAGAAATAGAGAGGAGAATGAAACAATGGCCTGTTTCATCTCAATCCAGTTCTTTATTTTTCAAATGCTAAACTAGGACCACACCACATCTTCACAGTGGATGGGGTAGGTTATGTGTAAACTCAGAGACCACCCTTCACCTTTAATTTCCAGTCACAAGAGCCATTAAGTACAAGATATTTATTTATCAGAAGGTATTTCTGAGGAGATTAGATATAAAACTGTCCACCTACATAAGGAAGGAGGAAATAAGTGTGAAAACAGCAATCTCCAAAACTGGAGCTCATAAATGCAAAAAGTCTTCTCCCCATTATTTTTATTTTATTGTTACTGTTTATGAGGTAATGAACAGGTACACATACATACCTTTTTCCTAAGAAAAACCTATTTCTGGTACACAGTTGGACCTCAAAACCATTGTTATACCTTTGAAGGTACACTAACATGGAATCCACAGGTGTTTCTGTCCATCCAAGTCAACGCAATGAGTCTGAAAGGATGTGTAGCTGAGAAAATGAAAAAAAGAAGATCAGAAAAAAAGAAATTTTGCAAATTAAACAAAAAGCTGCTGGTATTATCAGAATAATGGACTGACCAGCCCAGAGTCCAGATCTCAACATCACTGTGTCAAGGACTACTTGGCTTGTGAGAAGTAGAAAACGCAACCCACTTCTAAGACTGAACTTTGGAGGTGTGGAAAAATATACCTGCAGATTTCTTTGAAAGCTGAAATCCTCCCAAAAAGACTGGAAGCTGTACTTAACTGAAAGGAACAGAAGCAGTCACTAATATCAGTACATAATAGGTGTTCTATGCTGCCATCTTGTGGCTGAAACACGACATTGGCAGCAGCTTCACACTACTACACACATCCTTTAGTTTATTATATTAAAAGAACACAAAACTGACACAAACGCAAACACGACACACACAAAAATTACCATTTTTATTCATCACCACCCGGGGGTTTCATTTTATTAGAGAAAGTCATTTTTGATCGTCAAGTTTGCATTTAGTAGTTTAACTAAAATTAAAGAAACAAAAAATCCTCCTGTTAAAATAATCACAACTGAAACTCTGTATCAAAATGCACTATTCTTTAACAATATATACAGATACAGGCCTGTAGTAGCTCTCTTCAACTCATGATCATTGTGATTATAAATACGCAGAGGGTGGGGATATAATAACTCAGCCTGAGAGTTGTGCGTGTGCTTAGGAGAATGCACATGAAGAGTGCATAAGAAATGAGGAATATTATGTATTTTCATGTGTTTACGTTTGTGTGGAACTCAAAAATGTCATATGCAATGGAAAAGTGATATATATTATACAAAATGCAAAAAGAAAACGTTATAGTAGTCTTTTTTATGAATGACAGTCCTGAAATACTGGGAGTGCACAGCGGATATGATAAATTAAGATTACATAACCGAGCCATACACACAGAGCAAAGATACTGAGGAATGATGGATAGGCAATACAGCACCAGCATGGGCTCTGTCCCAATCCAAAGCAAAGTACAGCCTTTCATACTTCAGCTTAGTGAATCCACGTTTCAAAAAGGTCCACTTTCTAACTGAATGTTGTTATTTGATCTAATCAATCTCACACTTTTTCTTAGTCATTTATGTAGTGCATTAAAACAATAACACAGGCTTTACAAGCAAACAGCAGCCTGTCAGCAGTTCCAGACTATAGGGCAGCATCCAGGCAGACTCCTACCTGGAATTGTAATGTTGAGCTGTAGCGCGTATGGAAGGAATATATTCCCTAGTACTTTTTAGTACTTAAATGATTAGAGTACTTGAGTACTGATTTGAATAGTGTTGGCTGGTACAGCTGTATATGTGGGCATGTATATGTATATGAATATGTATACATATATACACATACATACAGGGCACACAATGAACACAATAAGCTATTAACAAATTCTTAACGTTAACACATTTTCCTACCGCTCCAACCATCCATAGTAAAGGGAAAAAAAAATCTTTCTTTACAGAGTGTGTGTGTGTGTATATGTGTATATATATATATATATATATATATATATAAAATTTATTTAGTTGTATGCAAAAGTTTGGCCATCTTATGAGTTGTGTTGGTTTTCTAATTGAAAATAAGTGAACACTTATGCACATTTTGATGCACAATTACTGTTTATTTGCTTATTTACTTTTAACATCTTGGGAAAAAATATTAAATGTGGCCTGTGCAAAAGTTAGGACACATTTTATTCTGTATGTTTGATTTTTTTCCCCAATATGCTAAGCAAATAAATAGAAATTGTGCATTCAAATTTTCAGAAAAATGCAGAAATCAATATTTAAGCATGTTGTAACAAAACATTTTCCAGTTACTTTTCAGTTAAATGAGAGCAAAGCAGTTCTGTGCTAAGGCTTTGTGCATATTTATCTTCAACACTCAGCTTCATGTTCATCGATATGAAGAGCAGTTTTGCTTAAATACTGATTTGACTGTTTCTTCTGACTGCTTTCTTTTCCAAACCACATACTGAAACTCTTTTGGTTTGAGTGCTGACATCACAACAAGGGAATTTAATTTATTCATATTTAATATTATATTATATAATTATATAATATTAATATTATTAATATTATACAATATATTTATTCTTATTTAAATAAATAATTTATTTATTCCCAAGCTGGGACTTTTGTCATCTGTTTATAAAGTTTTGCAGTTTTTGCAAAGAAAAATGGTCAAATCTCTCTATTCAGCATGCTAAGTTATTTTAAACCAACAAAACTCATTTGTAGTACAATTCTGCAAGGCTAGATGTTCCCAAACTTTTGATGGACAGTGTGTTTGTATGAAAAGAACAGAACAATATGCTTTGACAATCGCAAAAACATGAAATACACAAATACTGCATTATGAGCAGGCAATAATAGTGTAATAGTGCTATGAATCTGTTCTTATAGACGGCTTCTTTATGTAAGCAGCTTTCATCACAAAAACAAGCTCTAACCTGAGTGTGCTGTGTGATTGTATCAGCGCTCACCAACCGTGGACACCATAACTCAGTCCACGCGTGAGCCAATTAACCAATCAGAAGACTGGGATCAGTGCGTTTTGGGACTGGAATGGGTGTAATTTGGGCTGGAGCCTGTGTGATTGTAACGTCAGTGAGATTAAAGGGTAATTCTACTGTTTTTTCAAAATGTATGCATAATTACAGGGTTAAGATGTAAGCAAAGTCATTCAGAGCGGCTTGCTCTGTTTTACAGAAACTTGCCGAGTCAGACTTGTTCACAGTGGTGGTGATAGGAACCAGACAGCTGAAGATTTTAATGCCTCTAAAAGCTCCCTCAAAGAAAGTTATTGCATGAAATGAACACACTGCTTGATGCCTGAGACATTGTTTTACAATAGTTTTTAGTAGTAATTCATGGTGGAGATATACATGCAGGAGGTTGTAAGGCAAAATAGTATCCAAAGAAAACAATGTTTTAGATTTAGAACTATTTTATCATCATTAACATTACATATAAAACCTCAGAAGAAACGTATGGTTCACCAGTGTCATTGAATAGTAAATAAAATAGCTGTATTTGTGTTGTAGACAATGCAACCGCTGGCTCCCATCACCACCACTTGAAAAGAAATTCAAATCTGTACAATGAAACATTGCATGTCAAATCACGCTGAATGACAGTTTACATCTTAATAGTTGATTTATGCAGAACTTTTTGTAAAATTGGGTGAATTACCCTTTAAATAAGGAATGAAGTTGGAAACCTGCTACCAGAACAGAGATCAAGCTTTGAGTACAAATGCACCTTCTGATCACATTTATCTCTTTAACTGCATATGCCCTGGAGAGAAAAAAAATCCCCTATTGGGTGTAGGGGGGGGCTAAACTTAATTTTGGTGACGCATTATTAACAAAATGCTTTTAACAGGGATATTTTCCACTGTTACCATTTTTTGTTCCTAACTGTAGATACATTAATTAATTCTCATTGAAAAATATGATATTCACAAGCATATCGAATAACCTGAAATCTAAAGTAATCTAAAGCATGTATACAGTATATACACATATAGTATATCTTGTGTATAGAAAACTAAATCATTTAAAAAAAAAACAAAAAAAAAAGATGAAAAAAAATTAATTGGACGCTCTCCCCCCCCCAGTTCATGCTATCGATAAGGACATTTAAAGTCACTTAAATAAGTGGAAAACAACAATCTCTCTGTACATGTCTAAACTCTAAAAGGGTCTGTTGTTAAGACTTGCTGTTAAGGATTAGGCTATTCCACCATCCAAACAAATAAAAAATAAAAATCTTTAGTAAGTCCTTGAAGGTTGATCAGTACAAATGTCTCAAGTTGGTGGGTCCCGCCGCATTGGTTTAGTAAGAATTCGGGGGCAGGAAGTCTGCCAAAAACACAACAAACAAATACAAACAAAACAAAGTAAACAAGCAAACAATCGTGTTTATTTCACAAAAGACGGATTTCTCAGTCAGTCAGATAACTTAAGCCAAAAGTCTAGAGCTAATGGACATTTCTGTTGGACGAAATGATGCAACTAACTGAGAAATTCTGTTTTGTGAAGTAACACCCAACACACACTCTTCTAAACATGGTAACTCTTCTAGATAACCTTCAGATGTACATTACACACCTCATCTTCTCTCCTCTCTCTCTTTCTTTTTCACTTCTTCTACCTTTCTGTCTGCCTCACTCTCTTGCTGTGTCCCAATTGTATGATAAACTCTAATTCACTTAACACTAAAACTATTTTTTTGAGTATGCACTTGTAAGCAAAAGTTTCAACACCCCCATATTACGTTTAGTTCTTTTGCTAAGTGGAAGTTAACATATCCTCTATAAGCAAACAAGCTTATATATGAAAATTTTCTGCAAAGTTTTTGTGCACATTTTCTATTTTTTTGCTGAGTTGAACATATTTGGAAAAAAATTAAAATAGAAAATGTGTCATAACTTGTTTTATTTTTTTCCCCAATATGTTAAATTCAGGAAGTAAACAGTAATTGTACATTATAAAGATGTGTATTTAGTTCACTTAGAAAATCAACAAAAAGTAATTCAACAAGGGGTGCCCAAACTTTTGCACATGGCTGTATATTATGCAGTATATTCACAAGTGACAAAAATTCAACAATCAGGCTACTACCACATTCTGGCAGTAAACAAACGACAGCAAACTGGACACAACTGTTTCAACTGAGCTGAGACGGCAGCGCACCGCAGTGGTCAGCAGAACGTTCTGTCAAGATCAATATTCCCGACTTCTTCCATCAGCTGCAGCAGTGAAATACATGGAATGTTGAAATTTTGGGAAACACAGATGCTCATAGTTGAAGTCCTGGAGCCGTATTACAGAAACTTCCTATCTTAGTCTTAAGCTAAGATCTAACAAGATCAAGATAAGATTTTTTTTGCAAATTCATATTACAGAAGGAAATCCTTAATTTAGGAGTAATATCTTACCTCCAATTATCTTATCTCAAGCTAAGCAAGCTAATCCACTCAACAAAGGTCGATAATCGATTGTTATGTCTGTTACCAAGCAACCCATAATATAAACAAAAATCATTAAACTAACATAAACAAAAATGAATGTTTAGTATAGACAGCTACTACTGTGTCTAATCAATGGGAAAACAAAACTAAAGTGCACTGAACTGGATGTTTTAGTAGTCTTGATCGAAAAAGTTAAAAGAAAAGAATATTGTGATTGCACCCCCTGCTGTTCAACAATGGCAATGTTTCAGTTTCAGTTTCTATATAAGGCTTTCATCACCCTGCGCGCTCTGCTATTTTTGAAAGAAACAAACAAACAAACAAACAAAAGACACTGTACACTGTGTTTTGAAAATATTATCTAGTAAGGATGCTTCTGTTATACTGTTTACTTATCTAAAGTTAGGATAAGATTATGAATTTAGGAACCATTAATCTGTAAAAGCTACTGTCTTAGATTCAGTCCTAACTGAAGTTGTCATGATGACTGAAGTCGATTTCAGAGGTAGGATGTTTCTGTAATACGGCCTCACCTGATATCATTTATGTACAACAAACTCAAACGTCAATGAAAGCACACCAGTAGAAACAAAACACTTTTTTGGATAAAATAGTGGCTAACACCATTACCCCATACATGAGCAGGAATGCCACTGTTATTCCAGTAATGCTATCACCATGACAATGTTTGCATGGCTGCATGATGCTACTGGCCACATACTGTTGCTGATTACACCAATTCTGTTCTAAGGAACTGAACAAAGTTTTTTTCAATGCCAAACGTAAGTGCAACATCAGAGTATGTCAAGTTCTGAGTACTGTGGTTTAAAAATTTGAAAACCTTTATGAAAGCTATCTAGCTAATAGGCTCAGGCTGAAACTTGAGATAAAAGAGGTCAGTAAATAAAGCTGCACTTTTTTTCCTCTGGCTTCTCAGAAAAGTACAAAAAAAGAGCATAACTGTCGACGAATTTGGTGACAAGGTTGTAGCTTGATATAATATATGTTTGTATAGCGACATCACTCCATCACTTTCCGTTTGCACAGCCACATCAAGTCATCTCCATTAATACAAAACAGTACAGTATGTTTAGGTCCTGTGTACTAACCCTAGTCTTAGAACACAATATATATCTTACAGTATTAATGCTTAGAATACAATTGGGACACAGCATCTGTCTCACTTTCTCTCAGAGCAGCATGGACTCCTGCATGGCAAAGGCTTCTTGCGCGTGTCTGTAGTGAGATCCTCCAAACAGCGTGGGCCGCGGGACGGCCGCAGGCGGGAAGGCGAACTCCTGGACTGGGTGGACGGGTGACAGCTGGGCTTTCTGGAAACTGGGTGAACGAGGTAACCCACCTGAAGTGCGCAGGGGCGGCACCATCACTCCCTCCATCTTTTCTCCATACCACCCTTCACCTCGCCGCTGCCTTTCGTAGCGCTGTTCTGTTGGCGTAAAAGCGGGCGACCCTAAAAGGCGCGTTGGCTGTCTTGGGTAGTGTCCGATATCGCTGGTACTGTCCATTCTGGCTCCAATATTGTCCATTCGGGGTTCAAAGTTGTCCACCCGGGGTCCAACACTGTCCATACGGCCTCCGAAATTGTCCATTCTGGCCCCACTATTTTCCAGCTGGGCTCTAAAATCAGCAGGTGCCACCTGGAGAGGGGTGCGTCTGTAGGTAGTGTAGCTGTTGTTCATGGGCACTTTTTCGGGTGAGCGGTTCATAAACTCAGGTGAAATGCGCAAATTTGGACCATACGCCCTCCCGTCATTCCATATTCCATAACCTCTGTCCTCCTGTGGCCGAATTTTGGACGTATATGGGGTGTAGACTGGTGTCAAGCTGGGTGTGTATACTGGTGGGCGGATTTCAGAGCTAGATGGGATCGGGGTGTGTTTAGGGACTCTGAAAGGTGGGGCAGAAATTCCCATCCCACCACTGGGGGGCCTGGTGGGACTTCCCTGTCTTGCCCCGTATGGGCGAGAAGGTGGACGTTCAAGCTCCACCTCCGGAATTTCTGTGAAATCTCCATCAGGTCCAGGGACATTGTCGTATTGTGATGCATTGGAGGCTCGGTTGGAGCCTGGGACGAAGCCCCTGGACCTGGGACGGCGCTGTTGTTGTTGCTGCTGCTGTTGTTGTTCTTCAGATATTTGAATGCTGGGTGATGGAGGGACTCCAACACTCAGATTCTGCTGGCTTTCCCTCAAGGCTGCAGCTTTGGCCTCCTCTAACTTGCTCTCAGAAGGTTTGACCCAACGAGGTGTGATGTCTTTACGCCCGCTTGAGCCTGCGTTTGAGTTTTGATTGGCTCCGGCATGGTTCGGCCCATGCTTCTCAGGAGTTCGGGCCGTTCCCGGGGTTCCCGGGGTAACCAAAGTTGCTTTCCGCCCATCTCGTCTGTCCCCCTTTCCTTGGCGGTTTATTTTGTCCACCGTGTCTTTCTCTTTCCCAGCACGGCTCGCTGGTCGACTCTGTCTGTGCTGATCCGGTGAGCCATTTGCAGTGTCATCTGTTTCTGTGGTGACGTTCAAACCAGGAGGACCGTCCATCATCTGCCCGGCTAGCATCTGCCCATTAGCAACATGATTGGCTGCTTCGGCCGGATCCGGCGGTAACTGACCCAATGGCTTACTGGGAAACTCCTCGTCTTTACCTGCACAGGTAAGAGCAGTACAGTTCATCAGAGTGCAAAACATTAGCGGATATCACACATAGGTTGATTGACTTATTCGTGCTCTGTACATAAATGAGTTCTTTTGTAGCTTTTGGTGCAAGACTGGACAAGCTTACATAATGAGAAATTGCAGCGTGCAAGTTTTTATTAAAATATATATTTTACAGACCGTTATTGTTTATTTTAAATGTGACCAAGTGTGTTTTTTTGAGAAATCTTAGGGATAAATTCTGCAGGTTAAACATTTTTTCTCACTCATGGAGTATCTGGACATTACTGATATAGCTTAGTCAATGTTCTGTAAAATTAATTCAGAATACTTTACTTTGGACCTGCTACATAACACTGACATAACCATGCCATAAACATGTCATGGAAGATGTCTTATACCATACACCATACACATATCCCACAACGTTTGATGTCATGACAGCTAATAAGAGCACACTTACCAAAAATTAGCATGTGACATAGGCTGTAATAACTTCAAACATTATCTGTCATGACAATTACCGGTAATGGTAACAAGAGACTGATAAAATTACTGAACAAAATCTGTCATAAAACTCATGAGAGCATATGACATCCCCCATGACATGTTTACTGCATGGTTATATCAGTGTTATGCTGCAGGGTTCAAGTTACCATTTATCCAACCTGTCAACATTAGCTATGAAAGAAGGCACTGGGTTGAGCATGGATATGTCAATCAGGCACTGATACATTAAAAAAGAAACACTAAAACTGTACCACTGCGAGAGAACAAATAAAGTGTAAGCAATCATGCGGCTGGATATCCTTCAGTGGGAAGAAATACAAACAGCTGCTGTCCATATTCAACGTGTGAAAATACGGTTGGTGCCAAATAAAACACGTGACTAGATACGGTGAACACGCAAATAATTTTAAAATATGGTCAAAAAATCATTACACACAGCACTTGCAGTTCACGTCCACTTAAAACACAAAACATCGTGTTAAGAAAGTGCTTCTTGTGAGCACAGATGTGACGCAGAACAGATAGGGGGGGTTTTACAGTGTGTGCACGGTGGAGGAAAGTGAACAGAACAATGAAAGGAGATTGGTAATACGGCATACACTCACTTACAAACACACACGTTCACAGATGGTCATGTTAAAAGAAACCTCATACAAATCATAGTACATGATCAGGACTTTTTTCAAAGATACATACATTCTCATTTATGCTACACTATATCTAAGCTATATACTGTATATAATATAATAGTGCTGTGAAAAAGTCAGAGACCACCCTTCTTTCATATCAACAGACATTAAGTACACATTATTTATTTTTGAGGAGATATTTCTGAGGAGATTAGTGGAAAGTCAAAGAAACATGAGCGGAGAAACAGGAGTTTCCAGAACCACAGGAACCAGAGGCCATAAAAATGACTGAAAGGTATAGAGAAAATGGGACTCCTAACAACTGTGTAAGACATGGTAGACCACCAAAACCATCACCATCAGATAAACAGCACTTAAAGCTTTCATCTTTGAGAGAGAGGAGAACATCAAGCTCCAATTAAGCTTCAGATCTGAAAAATCCACAGATATTTCTATCCATCCTTCCACTGTGAGAAGACAACTGAACACTATGAGGGTGAGGGGGCGGGTCTTTGGGAAAGGATGAAAGCTGTGATAAAGTATGGACACAATAAATACTAAAACATTTTGAATTATATTTAATTGTTGAGGCTTCTGTGTAATTCCAATTTGTATTTACTGCTTTTTGTCATCACACTGAAAAATGAATAACTAGTATTTATTAACCATTTTGACTGGAAATCGAACAATGGAAAGGTGGTGTCTGACTTTTGCACCGTACTGTACATTACATACACTCTTCATTCAGAGAATAAAAAGATATCTCTTTAAAAATTAGAGTACATTAGAAATGCTTATATATATACATGTTACAGCAATTCTTTAAACAGTTTAATTTTTATAACACTAAAGATTGAATAACTCTCTACAGAGCAGCAGAGAGACCATTATATCAGCCCAAAATGTAGACTAAAATAGTGCATACACGCATACATGCGCGCACACACACACACACACACACACACACATACACACACATACACACACATACACACACATACACACACACACACACACACTCATTTCCTGTCCTCATCTTGTTATACTGATAGAATACTAATTGCTGTGAGAATTTCTGCTTCATAATTAGCAGACAAACACTCTCCCAACACTAGCATTCAGGAAACATTTCCAGGGTGTTAAGGTGGACACAAATGTCATGGAAAATAATAAGATATATTGCGCACAACAGGCCAGGCTTGTGAAAGACAGCAGACAAAAAAGATAGAGGCAAGACGTGTGTGTGTGTGTGTGTGTGTGTGTGTGTGTGTAGGGCTGCAACGATTAGTTTAGTCGTCAACTACATTGGTTTTATGAAAAAAGTCACCATTTGCTTAAAAACAAAAGTGTTTTGTAATCCTCCTTAATGTTCATATGATCCTTGAGGTCATTCTGACAGATTGTAATACGCTACAGCAGGGGTGTCCAATCTTATCTGCAAAGGGCTGGTGTGGCTGCAGGTTTTAACTCCAAACAAGCTGAAGCACACCTGATTCAAACATTTCATCAGGTGACCTCCTGCTTTGCTGGAGTGAAAACCTGCAGCCACGCCAGCCCTCTCGGATAAGACTGGACACCCCTGAGCTACAGGAAGTCTAAGTGACAACATAGTTCAGTTTAGATGATTTGTAGCATCACGTTTTGTCATACAGACAGAACTGGGCGATGGTAGCACTATGATGGGTCAAAAGGAAGGGGCAACGACACAAGACACTGTGGTTCGATAAATTGAATAAGAGATAACAGATTAAATGATGACGGAAGTAAAAACATTTTTCAAAGTTAATGCGATAGATTAATAAATGATAGACAACTGTAAGACACAGCTCTAAAGATGAGAGATTAATCAATAATGTGCAACAATTAGATGCACTCCTACAGTATACAGATTTATCAAAAAAAAATCATTAGTTGCATTGCCATAGTTGGTAGATTAATAAAGTGTGGAAATATTTGCTAGATGCATTTCCATTGTCAATAGGTTAACTGATGAGAGAAATAATTGTTAGCTGCTTTCCTGTGCTTGATAGATTAATTATTAACAGAAATAACTGTTAGCCGTATTCTTATAGCTTATAGATTCATTATAAAATCATTGGGCCTCATTCACTAATATCTTCCTGTTTTTTCTTTTTTAATTTGTTCTTGAGAAAGGTCATAAGAAAAAGTCTACGTCAGATTCATGATGTGTTCTTAAATTGCAGAACTCTTCACATCTCAGCGCTCTTGACGTTGCGTAGATTCTGTTCTTACCTAAGAACAAATACCACGTAAGAAAACACTGGTAAATGTCAGAATCTTCATTAAAAACGGCGTAAAGTGGGTTTTAAGAAAAAAAGTTGGTGAATGAGGCCCAATGTTAGCTGTATTCCTATAGTTAATACCTGATTAAAAAAATCATTGTTAGTTGCACTCAAATACTTGATAGATTGTGTAGAGAAATAACAGTTGCATTCCAATTGTTGAAAGGTTAACTGATTACAACTACAACTGAAAGACTAATCTATTGTGGAGATAATCATTTACAGTATTTCTCTGATGCATAGATTAATCGATTATAAAATAATCATTACTTGCATGGCTGATGATACTACAGTAATTGTTACTTGCTTTGCATGCAGGTGGTGGATTAATAAACTGTAGACGTAGTCATTATTCCGCTGGGAATAGATTAACAGTCGTTAGACGAATCCTTAAAATCGATTAATGTATTGTGGAAATAACTGTTGGCTGAAAGATGAAATGATTATAAAAACAACCATTACTGGCATTCCTGTAGTTGATCAATTCATTTCAAAACTAACTGCTAGTTGCAGCCCTTGTGTGTTTATGTTCTTCAAGGTGGGGTGTGGGGTACACGGACAGATGATGGACAGATAGATAGATATGTGGTAGCCAGTTGTCGTTGCCCACCGGTTGTGTTTGAAGGAAGGGGGGTTGTCCCCTTTAACTCCCCCACTAGAGGAGGCTGGAGCCAAGATCAGCCGAAAGGGAGAGAACGCACAGTCAGCAAAAAAGATTACACACAAACAAAGCAGAGTAGCAGCCATCAGCAGTCTGTGAGGTGTGTGTGTGGTATATATGTGCGTGTATGTGTGTGTGAACCTGCAAGTGAAAATGTCAGAGGCTTTGAGTGTGCAATTAAAACTGAGCACACTGGGCCTGATATACTAAGCTTTTTGCAGCAGTTTCAGGTGCAAATCGGACGTGTTCTGTACAGTTTATGGGCCGTGTGCATGGAAAAACACGAAATGGGCTTCTGTCTCACGCATATTTGCATTGATTTTCTTTTAAAACTAAACTTAAATTAGCTCGTTGTCTCTAAAGCATGTTTCTTTTATGGGGAGGGACTTATTTTTCAAAATGTCTGCATAATTCATTCATTGAGAAACCTACCAGTTTGGATTTCTTTACAGTTGTGTTAAAAGGAACAAAGGGTCTTGATGTCCACAATGCAAATACAGGCACTTTATTTACTAATCAAAACCACCAGTGATGTGTCTTCTGAGTTTTATATGTAATATGGATCATGCTAAAGTAGTTATGAATCAGAAAAAAAATAGGTTTTCAGATTTATAACTATGGGGACAGCACTGCCTTACACCCTTGAATGTACCTCTCCACTATGAACTATGAGTTTTAGGCCAAAACTTTCTGTCAAATCTACTGTAAAACAACGTCTCAGGCAACAGGAAATATATTCATAACCACTTCATATAATAACTTTCCATGAGGGAGCTTTTAAAGGCACTAACTTCTTCAGATATCTGGTTCCTATCACCACCACTGTGAACAATTCTGACTGGTAAGTTTCTGGAGAACGGTATTTCACATCAAACCACTCTGAATTGCATTGATGATTTATATCTTAGCCATTTAATTATAGAGAAAATTGGTGGAACTCCCCTTTAAAGCTGCTAGTCTGATGTTCAAGCCTTGAACATGAATATTTATGAAAATAATAACAGTATTTTAACTCTCGGGATCAGATGTATGTGTCTGAGAAGACGCAGTGAAAAATGTGCCTTGACTGTAACCTGTGTTATTGATTCTCAAGTATGGGAAAAAAAAAAAATAATTTCCTTCAGAAGAATTCCACCCCTGTAGATTGTTTCGGTTGGAAACTTCATCACTGAACTTTCAATTTTCTCTTTTGTCCCAGACTTGCTGACTTTTCCACTATTTCACTGTGCCTTTTAAACCCTGCTTCTGATGAATGTGCAGTTAGTAGGTAATCGGTGTGCAGGCTGCGTGATTAGCAGCAACCTTAGTAAATCGAATCGTTAATTTCAGACCCATTGTAAGCGCATCATGGCACATTTTGCCTGAACCTGTGTGTATATCTGGCCCAGAGCAAGTTACGGAAATGAATGTAAGTATGTCTGTCCACTCCTATTAGTAAAGGTATGTACAGCAGGGGACATCAATTCCAGTTCTAGTGCTGCAGCCCAGCTCAATTAGTGACTTCCCTGGTCAAACACATCTACTAAATCTGTTAAGCAATTGCAAAGTTGAATCCATTGTGTTTGAGCAGGGAAATCACCAAACTGTGCTCAACTCACGCCAATCCAACCCTCAAGGACCAATACTGATGCTACTGAGTGTAGAGAGTGGCAGTGTGTGAGATGCTTCAGAAATGTGAAGCACCTACATTTTGGCAAATGAAAGTTTCACTTAGTCACGCATCATTGCCTGACTAGGCTAAGGGTCTGTCTCACAAAGTGGGATTTCTTGCTTAGCCAGCTAACTGCAAGCCTACTTTGATCTAGTAGTGGGCGGAATAGCGGCATATCCTGGATACTGGTTTAAATTCTTCTTCAAGTGAGAGTTTTAATATAACCGGTATGCCACAAATAGGATACTGCAAGATACAAACAATGCAAACCATGCAAGCATTAGCCTGTTTAGATGCATGATTGAGCCAGGGATGTTTCAGTCACATTTCATGTGAAAATGAAAATGCAACAGTCCCTCAATTCTGATGTAGCCCATTTTGGAAGACCCACAGCTTTCGGGACAGGTTCTATATCTCGAAACAAATGAAATGACCACAATTAACCTTGTGGTGGTACTACGGTGCATAAATCTTAATCTTAAATTAAATCTTAAAATTGAGTCTTACTACGTTTTGCATATAAAAGTGAAACTTGAGATTTGCCAAAAGGTAGGAGACCTTAATGTTAAATAACACTTTATTTGAAGACTACCAAAACAGGGTCTTCATGACACATGCATAAGCATTGAATAACATATCTAATAAGCAATACATGCATTTTCATGAACAGCTCATGCCGATATTTGCTAAATGATATGATATGTTCTGTGAAGTAAATGACACTGTACTGACTCAAGTGACAGACACAATTGACTGTTATGAAGAACTTACACCACAGGTTCCACCATAACACCATATTCTGTACTGGTTCTATGAAACATGCCCTCAGACTAAAGAGATACATACAATTTTACAGGTAAAACACATATGAAAATTATTTTGAGGACAACAATATTTTCCATAGAAATTATACATGGTGTTCTTAACTAGGCGTCTGCCTTACAAGTTAAATTACAAGGGAATGATTCATTAACACTTCATACCAGTGTCATAAATTGAACAAATGTCCAACACTTATAAAGGCCTGTATGTATATCATTTATTTCATAAAAACATCTTATTTCATCTTGAGTCCCATTACGAAGCATCATTCCCAAGAAATGGGACACAAGTAGAAATACACAGAACTGATACATGCTTTGTAAGTTAAATTATATGGGAATGATGCTTCATAGCAGTGTTATTAATGGAACAAATGTCTGTCACTGTAGTGAAACTTTGGTAAGACTGATAAATTAACAAATTAATACATTAATAATAAAAAAAACAATGTTTGTTGATAGATTAACTGTTTAAAGCAACTAAGGTTAGAAGTAGTCCTGTGATAATCACTAAATCTATAAGTTACAGGAGTATAATTAAATAACTAAGACTGATATAAGCTGTTTATATAAACACTCAAATATTCCTTTTGAAATAAGATATTTAATGCTTATGCATTGTTATAATGTCCCTATGTAGACAACCTTCAAATAAAGTATTACTGTTAATTTGTGTGTGTGTGTGTGTGTTACATAAATGTGCATATATGCACTGTATACATGTACATTACCTGCTGGAGGAAGTTCTAGTTTGGAGCGTCTGAGTTCAGCCATGTTGTTCTGGAGCTGCTCGATTACAAAGTCGTCATCAAAAAAGAAATCCTTCGAAAGAGTCACCTGCAGGAACTCCACCAGATCCTCCATGGACAGCTTCATCAGGCTTTCTGGACACACACACACAGCATTATGATTAATACAGTCCGAGCTCAGGGTCTTTTGAAGGTGAAAATATAATTTCTCTCTCTTTCTCACACATACAGTGCTGTGCAAAAGTCTTACACCTCTGAGAAAATGATATGTGAAGCCATTTATCTAGGTAGCAAGAATTAACAAGAATTAACATTAGAATAAATACAAGTAAATAAACAATACATCATGATTTGATGTGTGTCTTAGCTTAAACGTTTCCAAAGCTCATCTTGAGAAAGTCCAGTATTTACAGTTACCATCTAATACCTAGTTTATCTAATCAATCCTTCACTAAATTAAATCAGGTGCTGCTGGTGGAATGTAACAATGCATAGTGTTGCACTGGCAAAAACACAATTACCAAAATAGTTTTTAACATTTTATGGCTGCTTAAGACTTTTGCACAGTACTGCACATACTTTGATTCCACGTATGGAAAAAATGTAAGCATGAAACTGAATATGATCGGTTTTGGATAGTATCTAAAAATAATTAACATAATATTTTCATTATGTTCTTTTCAACGGACATGCAAATATGTGTTTTAAACTTTTCTTTAAATTTGAGGAGAAACCTCAGATAGCCACACGGGCGCAAATAAATGATGGAGCTCCAAAGTCACATTGACGAGCATTGCGTATTAAAAAACAAGGTGTCTTCCATTGTTATAGTAAAGGAGCTCTGGAATTCAGCTGTAGATGCTTGTGGGAAACGATAAAGTATTATATATTTTTGTTTAATATTATTTAGCAAGCTGTTCAGTTAAATTAGTCCTCTTTAGATCAGTTTTCTAACACAACAACTATTGCCTTTGCATTTCTTATTTGGTGGTCAATCATCAACAATATCTTATTACATCTTACTTATCATATTTATTTTACAGTAAAATACTGGTACACTATTTTACAGGATCATACTGTAAAAGATTGAGCATTTAGAGCGGTGCATTGGTTTACAGTAACCAGACAAATGCAATTTACAGTAATTTACTGGCAGCAGATCTGCCAGCAAAGTACTGTTCTTTACAGTAAATTATTGTAAATGGAACACACAGTAAAATGCAGAAAAATATTTACAGTGAATACACATTACTGTGAATTTTACAATTTTTTTTTTATAGCATCACACAGGGTGCCATTACTTTTGTGCAGTTTGAGGATAGTGTAGGACATGGCAGGCAGAACTCTCTCTCCCTCCAGGATGTAAATGTCCCATATCCTCAGGGTTAATGTGAACGGGGTCTGCCAGACAGAACACACACACACCCACACACCCACACACACCACACACACACGCCGCACACACACGCGCACACACACGCGCACACACACACACACACGCACACACACACACACACACACACACACACACACACACACCCAGAGAGAGATGATTGAGGAATGCAGTTAGCACCATGTTAATTGCTGGAGTATAAACTTCTATTACTTTTTAGCTACATTAGCCTTGTAACTCCAGTGCTACATGAAAGAAGCAAACTTCAGATACTGAACAGGTCCTGGCTGGCTACATGAGTAAGGAGGAAAAATGTGTAAATCTGAATTTTTGTGAAACGGTCATTTCCATGACACATATGCTACTCTTAGCTAGAAAATCCACCCACTAATTTTAACAAAATATCATTTGCAAAATTATCTGCGAATGGGTTTAAAAAACAAAGAATAATAATGAAGAAGTGCAAATGAAAAAGTGTAAGTAAACAGGGTTTCTTACACGGTCCAGAAAGCACTGGAAGAACCACTTCATGGTGTACAGGCTGGTGAAAACCTCCTGACCGTCCTGCAGAGGGCAGCAAGAAAACACATTTCAAAACACATTTCAACTTGTGGTCTGTCTCAGAACTGTGGACTCCACAGCACTGATGGAGCTGGATTAGTGTTCCTACAGCATGTCTGGAATGTAATTTGTTGAGATTTGATTGGTTGACTGGGTCAGAATGAAGTATGTGTGTAACTGTAAAAACTCCACATTTACCGCAGATTTATATTAGATTAAAATCGGTCCACAATTATTACTTTTAGACTGTAAAAACTACACACGGTGCAGCTGCATACCGAACTAAAGTAACTGATCTTGTGATTTAATCACAAATTATACAACCTCCCCAGGTAAAACTAATCCAGGTCCAAAAAAGTCTTATGAATTGCATATTCCTAAACTCGTAAAGGGGTTGATGATATTGATGATGAACTGCATCAGATGTGTTAGAGGTTTTTCAAACAAAACCATAAGTGCACAAACACACACATGAATGAGTTTGTCTCACTGACAACAGTGCTCACTCTTTCAGTCCCTTTAACTCACCCACACGAAACACACGCACTAAGGTGCTCTGAAACTGCTGATCTCTGATTTACTAATTAATATGGCCTTTCATCTGCTTAGTAATTAATCATTTAGTGGCCTTAATTGGTATTAACTGACATTTCATCTGCTCTTGTTTAACTGAAAAGTGTTTCTCAGATATATACAGGTATCTGTTCTGCTTGTGAGAGGAAATCATAGAGGTGGCTAGAAAAGAAAATAATAAATGAAAATCATTTCTGATTTTCCCATGGACAAGTGTTGAAATGAACACAAACAGAAACTTCATATGAATGCTGATCATGCCAGAAAACTGAGGAAGTGAAAAATCCATATTCTGAAAGCAAGGAGAGGTTTTACCATCTCACTACACACTACAGAGTCTGTCTTTGTTAAAAACAAAACAGTAAAATGCAGCGGCCCTCCGGGGTTTGGGCTTGAAAAACTGCCTCGTGGGCAGTTAACAGTAAAATAAAATAACCAGCGGCTTCAGAAATAGCCCTGTTTTCAGGTTCTGACGGATGATGAATAATTCATTTTTATATAGTTCAAGGATCTACACTAATGCTAGCCACAAACAGCGCAGCTTACAATATTACTAAACAACTTTTTATATGAGCAAGTGCTTCATAAACTTTGTAATAGCCTTCTATACACTGCAAATTACATTTTAATAATAAAGGTTACATTTAACATCAGATGGACTTCAATGACATTATGTGTATCTTACTAGATGTTGTTTAAGTTTGGGCATCATCTTCTTCAGGATGCGATCATGGTGTTCCTGGAAGCGCATCAACTTTGGAAAACCCGGCACAAAGAATCCTGAACACACACACACACACACACACACACACACACACACACATTTTTAGTGCATTCCATTTTATATGGACTTCATATGTAAGTGAAAAATCCTACAGCTGTGATTTGGTTGCAGCCATGTGCCAAAAGATGTGATGTTATTCATGACAGCAGCACCAGTCTAAGCATTTGATACAACAGCTTTGCAAAGTAATGAAGTTCAAACATTGTTTCAATTATATGCTTTTAACATATAAAGCAGCTGCTTTTTCCAAAAAAACAAAAAAAACAAAAAAAAGTTCCAGCAGCATAGAGTAAAGTAACCACTGCGTGTGTAGCGGTGTGTGTTTACCGTGCATTGCATGTTTCTGTCCAGACAGTAGTTTGACCAGTGCCCAGAAGGCGTCCTCTTCATTCATATAAATCAGGAGGAGAGCAGTGATCTGACTCATTCCTTGACAATATCCCACCTCCTACACAGACACACACAACACAAACACACACACACTTCATTTCAAGGGAAACCTCCTGAAGCATGCATTTAGCTTGATGCTAACCAGTGGTGTCTATCTGTTAGCAGTAGAAAACAATGACTACTAGAGCTAGGCAGTGTGCAAAATACCCCCTGGTATTCTGGGGTCCCATGTTTGCTGGCTACTCTAGTGTTGGCTGGCTGCTAACCCATTCACCATAGCGGTGCTTTAATGGCATCAAAATGTTTGGTCCAACAATTCTTCTTCTGGAAATGCTCTTTCCTAGTTTGGTAATGCACTCCTTCTCACATTCATTAATCTTACATATCTCCTCTTTTGTCTTTGGTTTGAGAAATGAGTAACAGTTCACTCTTTCCACCAGTCTCTTGGGAAACTGGGCAAGCTTTCAGATTTACAAATATGCTATGGCACATTGTAAAGTTTTTCAGTTACAGTTGCTTGGCTGTGAAGGACCAACTGGGTGAAGCAACCAGCCACAGTCCACCCTGAGGCAGACCTGTGATGCAGCTCTAGTTGGTTAAGAGTACCAAAGACAGAAGCTTGCCGTTTGCGGATGAAGCAGCTCAACAAAGACCTTTCCCAGAATTTGTATTTGAGCGTCTGTTTTTATCCTAATTTGACAGCATAGCATCATAAGTTCATTTTCATTGATTTTGAGACATTCAGGGAGTCCAAGAGGTTATTTTGGAAGTCCCAACCCCCCCAGAGCCCCCTGCTTTTCGCATCTTGCAGCTAGGCCTTCATTTCAAGCCATAAATGGTGGGGAGAGAGAGAGAGAGAGAGAGAGAGAGAGAGAGAGAGAGAGAGAGAGAGAAACATTTTCTGCCATTATAGATTAAACACAGACATTTTAAGTTTGTAAAAGGAATTCTATGTATTATTTAAAGCTTGTAACCAGCATTATCATTTTAGCAGTTTTACAGTGATTTTTTTCTCTGGCATAGAGCTGCCGTCACTGTTTTTCATTTGTAAAACTGACTGAAACCCACTGGTTCGGCAAGCGCTCCTATTCTCAGTGACATATCTAGGACTTCCAGAAGTGACTTAATTCTCACAAAATTGGTCCCACCCTTTGGAAATCAAAACACAATTGGGTTGATGATTGCATGATTACACTGTTATTTCTGATTATATTAGTGGTTAAACTGACATGTCTTTGCTGGGCATAGAAGGCCCTGGGAGCTCAATACTGCCTGCTAGCTACATTAGCCTCTTAGCTCCAGTGTAAAAATAAGGAATTAGACTTCAGACACTAAACATGCCTTTGCTGATCGACTACATTTGCGGTATGGAGGGAAACTGTAAATTTGACTGTTCACCAAATTATCCTTAATAATAGTGTCTGCATGCCATATTTATAGTAATGCTCATATTTTTTTTTGCACCTGGCACAGCTCCATCACAGACACTGATTGCTTCCTAGCACTTAGGTCTGCATTCTTATTCATACAATGTGCCATTTAATTAATTCTTTTTTATGAAAAACACAAACCCTGACAAAGAGCTTGGTCTGGAATATTGCACCAGTGAGTGTACCACATATTGCAACAAACAGCCAGATGCAGGATTTTTTTTCCACTTGCTAAAAACAAGCTAATGAACGAGCTTCATTTGGGATGTGCTCTTCACTAAGCATGGGAAACACATTTTCAGTAGAACATTTACAAACCCGCCAAGGATCAAGATCAACTATAAACCTTTTTTTCCTCACAGACTATGCTTAACTGGTTTTACTGTCATATTGAAGAGCTGGGACTCACCTTTAAAATCAACTTGCAACTGCCTTTTTTATTTGGTTTTATGACTAAGAATGTATAAAACAGCAATCAACAAACCTCTAACTCTGAAATTTGATCAGCAGCATTGATTGACATGTCTCTCAGCCAAACACAATCATCTCTAAATGTTCTTTCCTCCAAGTGAAAAAAAAACTTTGACAGAACTTCTCAACACAAACCTGCAGTGAGAATGGCGGTAGCAGTAAATCATTAGAATTATTAGACTAAGAAATGGTGGAAACGCGTTGCTAAGTAGCATATGACGCTATCCTGCTCATCTGGAGGGCGGTGCGGTTTTTATTTCATTCCTGAAGTTGTAAAGTTTTGTACAAAACTAAGTGGAAGACCACACTAACCACACCATGTAAAAATGAACAGGTATACTTCTGCTGGCTCTAAAGTAAGCTTAATTTTTTTTCTGGGTTACTGTATTTGCTATCTGTATTTGTTAACAATAAATAACATCACAGAAGAATGTTTACCTTAGCTAGATCTGTTAGCTGTTCTTAACTTAGCTTGATAGATCAGTCACATTAAACAGGACTGTACAACGCTCACATTTGTGGTTAAAACACTGTGCGTAAAGCCAAGTATTAATGCAGTCATAGACATGCTATTCTTTGAAGTGTTTCATTAAAGTTTGTTGAAAGACCTCATATATAAATCCTCCTCAGCATCTGCTGTTGCTCTGACTAGTTCTAGTGTTAGCTTTAGCAGCAGCTCATTCAAAGGGTCAGCTTCTGTCATCAAAACCTCCTTTCTACCAGACATGAAAACCTACTGCTTATTTTCATGATCATTTATCATTTTATTTGTCACCATAAGTTTTTAGCTTTAGTTTCAGTAAGTTAATTTCATTTTATTGATGCAGGCAGAGTTGAGCTTAGTCATATCAGAGATACAGAGAATAGAGCAGTAGATTGAGTAGCTTCTGGAGCTGCAGGCTCGTCTCAACGTGAAGAGGACGACCCTTGAAACAGCTTGGCAGGTTCCCCGCTCATCTGGCGCAGCCGGTTCTCCTGGATCACGGAACGAGCTCAGAAGACACAGGCTGCAAGGTAGTGGGACAGCCGAACCCATGATCACTTTCACCCTGTGGAACACAGCCTACAGGGTCTACGGCCACAGTGACTACAGACTCCTGTGCCAGGGAGCAACCACAAACGTTCTCCTCCTCATACAGTGCCAGAACTCACCACAACAAAAAAGGTTGCCCTCAAAAGAGCCTAGCAGTACTTGGATAAGTATCACTATACTTACTTATATATTTGATATGATTCATCAAACTTGTGCCTCCTTGGTAAACCAACCTCATCACAAATTACGCACTGAGCATTTTGGTGTATCGCACACTGAGGTGAGGTGAAGTGGACGCCTGGCATGCACTGGCATGAAGCAGCTGTAACTGATATCTGTAACTGATATACTGTTTTTTTTCCTTCCATTATTTACCACATCCATCTTAGCTTATTAAAACTGTTGTCATTTGGGCTACAATAAAGATGGAGCTTCTGAATACTAAACAAAGAATTAAATACCAACATAATGAACAGTTTCCAAATTTAGGCCAGCCCCGGACGACACCTGTCTGTGTTTGAACTTTTACACTTAGACTGTTTAGGGGATGAGTTTTGTTTCATTAGTAAAATGCAATTTTTAGACAAATGATGACAATTTTTGGAACATGACACTATACTAATTGAGAGTATTTTTAAACGTAAATTTGTTGCAACTTATTAAAACTTTAAAAGTAAATATCATGGTCTGTATTGTAAGAATGTCTTCAAGTATCATGACGTAATTTATTTGCCATAACGCCCACTCCTTCGCCAGATGAGAATGATACTAATACAATCAGAGATGTTGCAGTGACTCACCCTGTTGTACATGGAGTAGGCTGTGAGGACGTGGAACAGGTCCTGCTGCCTGAAAACACACACACACACACACACACACACACACACACACACACACACACACACACACATACACATACACATACACATACTTCAGTATTTGACTATAAACCACAACCTCAATTTTTCCTTTCTACAATGAAATGACGACAGCAGGACAGTACACTTGGCTCCTTCGGTAAAGATGAGTAAAAAAGACCATGAAAAAAAAGTGTGTTCGACTAGCCTAAAGACTAACCTTCATTTGAGGTTAATTTAGTCTAAATTACCTTATGTCCTTATGGTTATCCTTATCCTTATGAAAACACATTTTTAACAAAACCATATCCCACGGTTATTGACATCCCTAGAAATGCTGAGGAACAAAACATGCTCCCATTCTTATTTCACTTTTTTCCCCATCTGTGTGTACAGGAACTTTTAAGTACTCATCCCTGACTTCCTCTTTCACTGAGGTATAAACATGAAGTGACAAAAAGGCCAAATTCCCTTCATACATCAACATGGGGAAGATTATAGAAAAGAAAAATGAAATGAGACAAAAGTGTGTTGACCTTTAGAAATCAGGCAATCGTCATAAAAAAAAAACAAAAAAAAACAGTTACACAACTGAAAATGCCCATCTCCAGTGTTAGGCTAATAATTAAGAAGTTTAAAATAACCGGATCTGTAGCGAACCTGCCTGGAAGAAGATGCAGGCATATTCTGCCCCCACACATAACGAGAAGGATGTTTTTGTTTTGTTTTTTTTTTGTGTAAGACAGTAGCCACCAAGGCTTGGGTCGATCGGTCTCCAAAACTACAACATTATCTCCATTCCAACAAACTATTTGGATGGTATGCCAAAATAAAGCTTCTCCTTTTATCTAACCACTAAAATAAGCACTTGTAGCATGCTAGACGCTACAGGAACTTAAACTGGAACCGGGTCCGTTGGTCAGATAGAAAAAAGAGCTCAAGGTGGGTTATAAGATGGCCACCAAAGACTACCTCAAAGACTTTTACACAGACAATAACACCACCCCCACTGTTAACTTTGCTGGAGGATCTTTGATGTTTTTGGAGCTGTTGTTCTTCCAAGCCCCCTGTTAGGATACATGACATCATGAATTCCATGCAGAACCAGGACATTTTAAATCTTGCTGCCAAGAAGCTAAACCCAGGTCTTGGTTGGATCTTCCATCAGAAAAATTATCTAAAAATGTGCCCAGATCCACACAAAAATGTTTATTCACCACATATTTAAGCTTTTGGCATGGTCATCCCAGTTCCCTGACCTAAACCCCACTGAAAACCCATGAGCTGAACTGAAGGAGAGAGTCTGAAAGAGAAGACCTATGATCCTGGAGGATTTGAAGAGGTTCTGTATTAAGGAGTGGTCTCAAATTCCTTGCTCTGTAGTTACTGTCAAGCATAATAAGAGACTCATTGCTGTTTTATTGGCAAAAGAAGGTTGCAGAAAGTACTGCAGGAGTGCCAATAATTGTGACCCACGGTTTTGTTAAAGGCTTTTTGATAATGTTTTTATTTCCTCAGACTAAATTTACTAACAGGTTAGATTTTTATCATATGTTCAAAGTGAAGCTGAGCTAATTAACCACAAATCTTCTCATGACTGTTTATTTACACATCTTTACAAAGGGTACCAACAATTATGGAACTGACAATAAATAAACTACCTATTTTGTTTTCCTGTGCAAAAGAAGCATGTAGAAAAAGAAGCATTTATATTCACCTTTCTACATTAGATACACAAATGAAACTATATCTGACCCATCTCCTGCCTCATCTCTCACAGTCATTCTCTGTAGTGCCCACCTAAATACAAACTGTCAAGACCAGGCGAAATTTTGCACTTCTGCATTTACTACATGTCAAATTAATCACACAGAGAGGCTTTGGACATTTCACTGTTCTTCAAAGCATGAGGACCTGACACTGGGATTAAAATGTGGAGCAGAAAAGCAGGAGGGCACGTTCTTCACTGACAGAGCACAAGAACAATGTGTGTGCTGTACAAGACTGCTTTTGATCTCAAGTGTTCTGTTTGGATCCAAAGATCAGTGTACAAGTGTGTGTGTGTGTGTGTGTGTGTGTGTGTGTGTGTTCAGGACTGAGTGTCAGTGTGCTTTGGGAGGATTAGGGTGTGTCTGTGTGTTAAAGCTTCACTATATATCATTTATTAAAAAATATTGCGATGTTAGCTTTTCCAATACTAATCTCAAAGATATACAAATGAGCCCTCTAACCAATCACTAATTTTTTTTACTGTGTGCTGTGAACATCCTGACAAATCACACTTCCAGATGAGATTCTGTGGGTGTTTTAACAACTGAATCACATTCACAAAAAACTATTTGTAGTTCGCAAGTATGTGCATGTGGACATTCAGCAAAGAAAAGCTTGCAGAAGCTGGTGAAAGAACACATTTATTATTGATTTGATTCTATTTAGTTGATCGAAATGATCAAACATTCAGTTAATACCAAGAGAAAGCTTTGGCTATAAGAACTATGGAATAACATGTTAACACATGTTGGTGTGCATTAACATTTTCTGACTGTTCTAGATTAAACAAGGATATTAGAGGCTTGTAAGTGACATTCCATATGTTTTATCTGAATCTTGTAACATACACTGAGACACATTTTACCTTGTATGTATCAGTTTTACAGTGACTCTTGCAGTAAAGAGCCCTGGCATAGAGCCACTGCCACATTGGTAACATCTGACTAAAAACTGGTGAGACTACATCTTGTATTCACAGACAGTGACATATCTAGAACTTCCAGAAGGCCAAGAGTGACATTTTTTTCCTCACAAAATTGGTCCCGCCTTTTGTAAGTCAAAACATGATTGGCTGATTCCATCATACATCTTAATTATACTCTGTAAGGCCTTCGGTCCAGCTCCTGAAGTCCTGCCCAAAGAGAAAGCTACCTAGATATTACAGAAAAAAAAATCCTGCTTGGACAATGTGTGTGTGTGTGTGTGTGTGTGTGTGTGTGTGTGTGTGTGTGTGTGTGTGTGTGTGTGTAATACCCACTTTACGTCATAGCGCCGCATGAACATGATGTGGTCTCTGTAGGTTCGGTTCACATCCAGATCTATCTGACGGACATCAGGAGATAATGCTTTAGCCCTATCCTTCAGTTTCTGCAGAGAGAGAGACAGAGAGAGAGAGAGAGAGAGAGACAGAGACATAAACAGAGACATAGACATAGACATAGACAGAGAAAGAGAAAGAGAGAGAAAGAGGAGAGATAGGAAAGAAGGAGGAAAAAAGAGAGACAGACAGAAAATGAGAGAGAGAGAGAGAAAAGAGCAAGAGAGTAACAGAGAGAGGGGGAGGGAGCAGAGGAGAGAGAGAGAGAGAGGAGAGAGAGAGAGGGCTTTCTGTAATAATGAACTTCAGCCAAATTAAATCAACACTGCAGCATATGAATCTTACAGCCAGTCTGCAGTGCAGATTTAGTGCAGCACACACACACACACACACACACACACACACACACACTACATGGTATGAGCAAAATACCAATAAATATTCTGCCTACAATACACCTTACAATATATTTAAAACACATTTATTTAAATTATTTATTGTATTTAAATATAGAAAATCCTTTATATCCTTTATATGATGGCCTAAATTATCATGACCAAAATAGTATGTTTTATTACATGAATGATTTAATTCATCAAAACACCCACAGAAACATTTATTTTTAATTAAAAAAACATTTTCTTTTACTTTATTCTATTAAAAAGCTACAATAAGCACATTTTGCTTAACCTTTTCCAAACTTCTTCTTGTGCCAACCCAGCGTTACTTTGTCTAATTAATACTTTATTAATTTAAATCAGGAATGCTGGATATGAATTTGTTTTTATTTATTCTAACATTATTATGTGGCAAAACTCTCTTACTGCCTACATAAATGGGTTTAAAAAGTTTACTTATATATGTAGCAAGCACTGAAAGTCAGGATGGCAGGATGATGAAGTGAAATGTTGGCAGCGATTCATGACCAACTGCACTGTGTATTTTTTGGAAAGTGCTTGTTGCTCTGCTGGAGAGAAAGTTCTCTCTGTGGCAGCACAGAACCACATAACTACTGCATACTAAACCACCGGAGAAAAGAATGAGGAGGCTATTTCTGAACGCGGTATTTGTGCAATATGTGTGTGTGTGTTCTGCACATACTAAAGGCCATGAGATCTGCTATCTGAGGGAGATCATAGTTTGATATCAGAAATACTGTCTTTACTAGTGATGCACTGAAATTAAAATTTATGAAGACAGATAGCGAAAGAAGGGCACAGTTCCCTAAAAACTGGAAGAAATAATAATATAATAATAATTTGTTTTTGTTTTTATTTATGCTTTTGAATTAATGGAATAATGCTGACGATTATAGTGCACAAACATGCCCAAATAATAAATAAAGTAATTAATTAATTTGCAACTTAAAACTGTACATAAAGAATTTTTCATTTATTCATGCATCTACGTAATTCTATGATAATTTACTTATTTCCAGATTTGATTTATTTCTATATTTCTTCCTCCAGTATGCTGATAAGACTACAAGAGCTAAGAGCTACATGCTATTGGTTCATCGTAGTTTTTGAAACACTGCTAATACTTCAGTGAGAGTGGAACAGTCGAATTTCTATGCACTTGTAGGTCGTTTGTTAATTAAAAGTAAATTATACGATTAGGCTGTATAAGTGTGTTACCTGACATTTAACAGAAACAAATGAACACAAGAAGCCAACGTTTGTAGAGTTGGTCTGCAATATCTCACAGAACCTGACACAGTCTTCATTCACTGTACTGGAAATTTCTTTGATTTCATAATTATTCTATCAATCTGCCGTTTAGTAACACTTGGTCTATTATGTAAGCAAACCTTGTTAGAACTACAGTAGTGTTGCCCATGTCATTAGCATACAGGAAGAAAAAATACAGAAATAAAAAAATGGAGAAATAAAAGCAAAAACAAATGTTGATTCATTTATTGCAGTATTTCTTCCCATGTGTATATACCTGTTCATTTACTTATGCATAACCTAATTTTATATATTAATACATTTATTTACAGATGATGTGTCTCAGGTATATTTATTTATTTACTTACTTACTAACATTTGTTTGATTTATTAATTTATTATTCAGTTAGTTTGATTGATTTCCTTCCTTCTTTCCTTATTTATTTATACCTTATTTATTTATTATACTTTTTTTTTATATATTATATCTTTTCTCACTCAAACTCAAATAGTAGAACCACTATATATATATATATATATATATATATATATATATATATACACACACATACACACACACACACACACACAGCACGTTACACATTAACAAACTTAACAAACAGTTCGATCCAAGTTCAAAACCTAACATAACACAAATGTGTGTGTGTGTGTGTGTGTGCATGTGTCTACCTGATAGAAGTCCTTCTTCTCCTCCCTGATTTTCGGAATGTCGAGGAGTAGACACCACGCCTGGCCCCGGAGCTGTAGCGGAATTCCCTTGTAGATCCTCCTTACCAGCTATACGAACACACACACACACACACACACACACAAATATCTTTTATTCATAATGGATAAGCATGGCTCACATTGTGTTTTTCTGGATGCTAAAAAAAAATGCAAGGTGTGTTGTCCCGTAAGCTACTTGCTATCTGAGCATGCTGTGCAGAAAGAATGCTGCCCCTAGGTCGCATAAAAACGGAGACACCATGTGCGCAAAATAAGTTCTCACTGAAAACAAATCTTAATATATTTCTGCTGGACAGATACCATTTGTGATTTTTACATCTCTTGTTACTGCCAACCATCCTGCTGCCTCTCACCGTGTTTTCTGTTTCCTTATCATCTGAGCTGTCCTCGTCCTCCCATACAGCCTCCCATCCAGTTTTTCAATTTATTTTCCGTCACTGTCTCATCTGTCGAACTCTCTTTCCCTACTTTTGACAATTACTTTCCTTCTGGTCATTGGAGTTTGAAGCAGAATTACTGGCTAACTCAAAGAGGAAAACTGTGACTGAGTGAAAGGAAAGCTGAGTTAAAATGAGCTCTGTCCTGTAATTTTCTCTATAGCGATTTCTTGTGTATATCCTTTCTTTCTAACCTCTCATGTGTAGCTCCACCTTGCTAGTGTACAGTTAGAGACTGCAGCTCATCTGTTGATGCACGGTTTGCATTAGCCGTCACATAGCCCTTCATCAGTGGCAATTTTCTGACCATACTCAATCTGTTCTTGGGTGGATATGTTTGGGTGGCGGACCACTCTGACTTGTGTAAAAACATAAGCAGTCAACAATAGCAGTCGCCAATGATGGTAGGGGTAGAGCAGTTGATGAACTGTGCAGCAACAAATGGGTTTCAATCTGTAACAGTACACCTACACAGTGGACCTAATGTAGGCATATCTCATAAATATACCATAATTTTGTGTGTGTGTGAGAATTCAAAATAAGATTAGAACTTAAAGTGAAATTGCTGAAAGTACTAAGTTAATCACTGCCAGAAATTCTCTCTCCTGTGTCATTAAGATCATCTGGCGGGAACAAGGGATGATGGAGAGATACAGGGACGTGACAGAAATCGGGACATGCATTCCTCCTTTTTCTGTCCTCATTCATCTACATTACTAGCACTTTAGTGATTTCCTGCGTGTCTTTCTGCAAGGGTAGGTGTGTCTGTGTGTGTGTGTGTGTGTTATTGATGACTACCGATGTGCTCGTTCCTCTGGATGATGATAATGATACTGATTACGCTGACAGAATCTATCATAGTTCCAGATCAGCTGTATCACCAAGCTGAGAGTTATGGATTATAAGCCACATACAGAGAGGCTCTGCATGTGTGTGTGTGTGTGTGTGTGTGTGTGTGTGTGTGTGTGTCTCTTTGACAAAGATCACAAGATCACTCCACAGATGTACAGTCATGCAAAATTTTAAGACCGCTGGTCAAATTTCATGTCTTCTTGCTTTTATAAGTGAAAGTAAGTTAACACATTTTTGTCTGCAAATTTTAGTGCACAATTTTCAAGTATTTGCTGTGTTTAACATATTGAAAAAAGTGAAAAAGAAAAGCAAAAAATGCTAAGAAAAACTAAAATAAAAGCTAAAAAAAATAGTTTTTCCTCATGGAGCGGTCATTGTTAAACAAAATACACACTTTGTCACTGTTCTTGTACTTGTCCCAGCTTTTCAGCATCTTCAACCACTTTTCTGTCCTCTCCAATTCCAGATGCTTTTGCTAAACAAAGAAAGCACACACACCAAAATACATCATTAAAACACACACCATTAAACACTGTCACAAAAATAACAGGTAATAAAAATGACTTTTATGTCTAATTCAACTAAATAATATTTTCAGTAATGAGAACATTAAGTCCTTAAAGCATTTATATAAATAGGCTTTCATGTGTATAGATTTTTCTTTTATGTTCTATGTCTTTCATGTTTTATGTCTTTTTCTGGATCTTTTAAAAACTATAAAAGAAAACATGTACAGTTTCACTAGCAGTGCAACTATGAATATGACATACTGCTTAAAAATGAGTATGATAGATTTATTAGCCAGGTAGGACAGGTCATGCTGGTTACAAACCACAGCCGTTTAGACCTGCATATACTTGCATCACTTGTCACCCTTATTAAATTAATAGGAAAACAGCAGTTTGGATGTTTGCTGGCTTTCCAGTTATAAACGTGTGCTTCTTTGTCCAGATTCAGAAGGGATAAAACAACTAAAACTGCGATAAACTGGGACATGTAAGGACATCTTAGCTAGCTAAGTTAAGCCTTGGAGATTTATGAGTTCATTAATAATATTTTTGATAGGCTATTATGATGTATGAGAAATGACACGCTGCACAATATTTTCAGTTACTTTACTATTTAAAAGAACAGTTTACAGGTTTGTACCAGTCCGTTATCATATTATTTTTCTACAGTATTTAATCTGTTGATGGTCATACCATCTTCACTTGGCAATGTAAGAAAATGGGTTTTCCAAGATGCTGGTGCAGTGCTGTAAATGAAGTCAAACCGACGCATCTGCTGTTACTCGTCTCACAAAACCTTTGTTTTTTTTTATTTTACACATTGCGACTTTTTTAAAAAATGGGCAAGTGATAGAACACGTTAAAGATAAGCGACAGGACCGTGTTATATTAAGTTCTCAAAACAGCAGTTTGTTTAGGGCAATTAGGTATTTCCTCCATTAACTCCTGCTCAGTGAGTTGAGCTGCTGGTCTCCCTGCTCTCACTCTGTTATGTTTTTAGACCAAGGATTGCCTTCTGGGGGAGGGTCTCTGCTTTTAGTCAAAAATCTGGCATTTTTGACCATGACTACAACTATGACTATGTTACTTCTAGTTGAAAATTTGGCTTTATTGACTACAGCTACTTTACTTTTAGGGCCTTTTGGCTTTGGTTTACTTTGAAGACCAAGCTCTTTGACTATGACTACTTTGCTTTTGGTTTAAAAATAAACTCTTTTCGGCTGCAACTACTTTACTCTTAGGCGATAATCAATCCTTTCTCCTCAAGAATCAGATTAAATCACAGCTCAGGTTTGGCAGGATTACAATGATCTTCTGCTCACCTTTTCCTCCACGGAGTTATAGGCCGGAAGTTCATTCTCACTGCAAAAAAAAACAAAAAAACACAAACACGCACACACACAGATGTAAATCCAGTGAAATTGCAGCATCTCAGTGTCTCATTATTTCATCATTTTCCCAACAGGAAAAAAAACAACCTCAGACGAATTGTTTTTTCCTTCTTTTCTCACACAGATATCACTAAGTTTAAAAAAAAATCACAACTAGTAGCTGAAATGTTTGGAAATATGTTTTTGTTTGAAGGTTTTATGTAACATATGAGAACAAAGACCTTATACTGGAATGGAAGTGCTGAAGAGGAACTAGAACAAACCCATAAGCCATAAAATCTCCCTGATGCTGATGTCAAATGCGAACTCCCTCGGCACTTGAGGACTGAAAAAAAGGGAATTTATCTGTTCCACAGGAAGTGGACGCACTAGATAAATAAACATCGCTATGGCAACTCGCCCATGACGCCACCCCTGCCGACGGGGTTAAAGTGAGAAATCATCGTCAATGACACAAACAGGAAACGCTTTGGATCAGAGAAGGACGACTTTCAGTCTCGCACATGAAGCTGGATGCTACGGCATACAGATACACACAAAGCCCAAATGTTTAGAGAAGGGCTGCAATGATTTTTCAAAGTCAATCAATAATTCATTAATTATGAAAAAAGCTGACATGTCATTTACTTAAAAACAAAAGTGCTCTAAAATGCACTACATGGTTAATTGATATCATAATACTGGCTCTTCCAATACTGACACGTAGACGCAGGAGCATCGCCTGGCTGGGCTTCTGGGACTGAATATTTTTTAACCAGCCCCGAACACTCTTACATTACATAAGGACAAGTTCACTCACTCCTCAAACTCAGAGACAGAGAGAGCACGGAGCAACAGAGAGAGAAAAAGACAGAGAGCACGCATGTGAGAGAGATAGGGAGAGCGCAACGAGTTAGAGAGAGAGAAATACAGAGAGAGAAATACAGAGAGAAAGAGAGAAAGAAAGAGACTGAGAGAGAAAGCACATGATAAGAGTGCAAGAGAGAAAAAGTGTGCATGCCTGACATTTCTGTAAAACTGGCAAAGCTACTACACTGCAAAAAAAAATAAAATACTAATAAAAGTGAGTAAACTGACTGTTTTAAATATTCAGGTTCATTAAACATTGAATAGTAAGTTAAGAGAACAGTATGTCTTACATTCTGTTAACTCACTATGTGAAGTACAATGAAATTTGAGGCAGCTAAATTTTGAAATCACTCATTTGAAAACAACCCCGACCTGAGCTGGTTTTCAAATGAGTGATTTTAAATGTACACTGCAAAAACTAATTTGGACTTTCAAAGTCAGAAACCTAAAACTTCATGCCACAGCTCAAACAACATCGTGCCACTTTACCTGAAACTATGAACATACATCATCTAGAAGATGAAGAGCATTTAAATCCTTCATTTAGTCAAGAATGTATTTGATTTGAGCATTGCTCCAAAAGTGATTTGCTGCAATGCTGCTTGCTTATTCCAGTACAACAGTCTGTTCCACACATGCGCAGACTGAGAAATCTGAAAGAAATACGGGTAAGAGTATACATGCCCTGAGAAATCTGATTACTGAGCTCTGATTACTCCAGCTCTCTTTATCAGATTTCTTAATCGGAGTATGTGTTTACATGAATAATCTGATAACTGCAGAAATACAATTATGATTGGATTAAGCGCATGTAAACGCACTCAATATTTATCAGACCACAAATTTTTTTGTTAATGTTCATGTTTTGTTTTAGCATACTTTTTCTAAACAAATGATAGTTTTTTGTTTGGCTTTAGGGAAGACGAGTTGAACTACTATTTAAAAAATACTACAAACAAAAAAACAAAAAACCAAACCTACAGATATAATTTACTCCATTATATTTCTCTGTACAGAACAGTACAGAGAAATATAATGGAGTAAAAAGCAATATAGAGAAGCACAGTGCAGTAAATTGTAAGAGGAAACAAAAAAACATTGGTGAGATTAGTGGAGAGACTGATTGATTGTAGTAATAATTGTTAGTTGCTGCTCTGGCCTAAAACAAATAGGCACAGATAATGCAACAACGGGACACTGCTCACTAACTAGATTCTAGCATAGAGGCGTATAAAAGATATAGAGCAGTATAGATGTGCACAGAGCAGTACAGAGGAGTACAGGGCAACCAGATACAGTAGGAGCTCTGAAAGTGTTCAAGAATTTTTCTCTCTCTCTCTCTCTCTCCATATGTTGTTATCTCACTTCCTGTATCCAGTGCAACAAATGGTTGGCACTGTGAGGTCACTTCCTGTCTTGTTCTGTTGTTTAGTCAGATGATAATCTCTCACGTCCCTCCTACGTCCCTCATCCCTCATTCCCTCTCACTGCTGGGACCTTTGAAACTACCCCCCTCAGACTTCTCCCTCTCTCCCTCTCCATCAGATTTTCTCCTTCCTTTTCTCTTATGTTCAATGTCAAATCTTTGCTCTTTCTGACCATTTAAAATCAGTTTCTCTCTCTCTTCTGGCCAGAACACACTACGTGTCTGTCTCTGTCTCTCTCTCTGTCTCTCTCTGTCTCTCTCTCTCTCTCTCACACACACCCTATGATTGTGGCTTCCTCCTCTGCCAGCCACACGTAGCACCCTCTAAGTATCCCAGAATGCACTGCTGTTTAAGAGGCCTGGGAAAACCACAGACCTCCCCGCCAGGAGAAAGAGTGGACAAGATAGGAGGGAAGGAGGGCGAGGGAGGTAAGGGAAGAGCACAGGCTATACAGGGGTAGAGAGGAGAAGAGTTAAGAGCAGACATACAATAATACAGAGGAACACAGAGGTCTATGGGGAAGTATAGAAGAGTACCGATGAGTGCAAAGGAGTTTAAAGAAGAACAGAGGAGTATGGATGAGAAAAAAGAAATGCAAAGGAGTACGAAGAGTATAGATGGAAGGATTGATCGGCTATGTTCTCTAACTTAGTTGATCCTAAGAGCTCAGAACTGAAGTATACTACATATTTGGCTCCTATTTCGCCGTAAACTCGCTGTATGGATGTGTATAACTGTGACTAACGCAGTTTGTTGTCAAAGCTTTAAGCATTTGTTTCTGTTAGCATGTTAGCATCCGAGCGCTAACCTTTGCTTAACTTAGACTGCACTAGCTTCATGACCTACGGCTTTGGCAAGGATTGAAAATAAAAAAAAGATGCAGAACTACAAAAGCGATCACATATCAGCCCTTCAAGCCTTTTCAGTACATTTAAAAACCCATCTGTAAAGCAGGAAGATGTTTTGTCCTGTTAGCTGCGCCTGTTGTGTAGGCTCCGGTTATTTCAATGGTTATGCCAGCCTGAGGTACCAGAAGGTAACAGATGCACAATTTAAGACTGAATGGGACAATTCCAAAAAGAAGCTGACTTTAGCTTTATCGAGAGTTGAAAGGCATGAAAAGGATGAGGACGTTTCTCTGTTTCTTCTTGATATGGGGTTAGCATTAACTTTTTCACTGTTTCACAGAATCAATAGGTCGGTATTATTTTGTCTCGTTTACTAATGCTTATGGTAAGCTTAGTAGTAGCAACTGTAGCGACAGTTTGCTAACCAACAACCTAGTTAACGTTAGCTACATTACTTGCTGTGTTGCTGTTCGTTTTAACATTATATCATTACATTTTTCTGTACAATTTTTGTGAAGAGTTTTATGGCGAAAAAGATCTAAAAAAGCCTCATTTGCCTCGGCAATGTGCTTCCATAAATTTGGAGGAAGAGTTTCTGAAGGAGTACTGAAGGGAGGGATGTATTTGTTTTGTTGTTGAGAATCACTTTTGTACTTTTGAACATGGCATCCAGCCCAGTCCCAGATCTGTGCTGGCTACTGGCAGATCGTACTGAAAGTTGAACAGTGATTTGGCCGCAAAAACATGGTCCATATCTAGTGGACAGACATCTATACATGAGTACAGAGTATTATAAAGGAATACAGGGGGGTGTATAAAGGAAGAACAGAGGAATACACAGAGGTAAAAAATATTAGTATAGAAGAGTACATTATTACAGGATTAAAAATGAGTAGAGAGGAGCGCAGAGGAGTACAGATCAGTAAAAAAGAGTACAGAGTATAGAGAGGGTATAAAGGATATACCGCAGTATAGAGAAGTACAGGGTAGTTTAGTAATTATGAGTACAGAAGAGTATAGATGAGTACAAAGCAGTACAGATGAGCATAGAGGAGCATAGATGAGAAGAGAACAGTACAGGGAAGCACAGAGAAGCATAGAAGAGTATAGAGCACTGTAGAGATGCCCAGAGCAGTATAAAGGAATGTAGAGCAGTATACAGCTTTATACAGGATATACAGGAGTACACAGGAGTGTAAACGAACTTAGACGAGAAGAGAACAGTACAAAGAAGCACAGAGAAGCATAGAACAGTATAGAGTACTACAGAGAAGTACAGGGCAGAATAAAGGAATATAGAGCAGTATTCAGCACTACAGAGGATATACAGTGGTACAGATGAGTATAGAGAAGTACAGAAGATTACAGATGAGTATAAAAGAGTATAGATGAGTAGTAAGCAGTACAGAGGAGCACAGAGAAGCAGAGAAGCACAGAAGAGTACAGAGTATGTCATTTTGTAACACCTCATCCTGTTATTTCAACAAATAAAGAAAAAGATCAGTTTGCTTACACTGTCCAAATAAGTGAATACACTGCACGATATTCAATAGACTATTCAATAAATGTCAAACAATCTAGCTAACAACAATTGCTAAATATTACACACGCTGCTAACTATGATAAAGGAGCTAGTTAGCCTTAGCTTAGCAAGCATGATAATAGCTCTGCTCCCCATTGAACAGGTTTGAGTCTGGCTAACCAAAATTATGTCTGAGAGAGCCAAGTGAAGCGACTGGTGTGTGACTGACAGAAAGCTAAAACTGAACCTATTCTGTGGTGTTCAGAGCTGTACCGTATTAGCTAAGCTAACAATAGTTTAATTAGCAGCCCAAAGGTGCCACACAAAACAGAACAGGCTTAGTTCCTGCTAGGTGACATTCAAATTACACATGCTACAGACTCACAACCGAAACTACAATGTCGAGTGACTGGTGTTACAATGACAGCCGGAATCAAACGTGTTCTGTGGTATGTGTGTAGTTTCTCTTAGATATTTCCTGGTCATGATTTAGCATCACATCAATTGGAAAACGAAACTATATCCAGCAGAATACAGCTGTAGGTCGCATTAAGCTCTACAGTGAAGGTCCACAGCATGTGTGAGGTGTTTCTAGGGTGCCTAATTTTTGGATAGGAATGCATGTTAGGTGTGTTTTCATCTCTGGCTTTGACTGTTTTCAAGCAAATCTGGCAGACTTGTTGATTCTCTGCCCTCAATAGAAAATGTGAAGGGGGGGGGTGGTGTTTAGTAGGCCACTCAATTGATGAATATGGAAGAGAAATTAGATATGATGATAATTTTGAAATATCGTCATAATACTTATACTAATAATGTGCTCAGTTAAGCCATGAGTTGAGCATCTTACTGCAGGAAGCCGAAGCGGTCCACCACTTTGTAGAGGTCATAGTTCGCCTCCTCCCATGGCTCCACGGGACCACCTTCTACACCCTGATGGAAAATGAAGCAAAATACTTAATGCTTAGTCTATTAATAAGACAAAGTAGAGTTAGAAAAGACGAGGAGAGAGGACAGGAGAACAGGAGAAAAAGAAAAGAGAGTAAGACAGACAGAGAAAGAGGAAAACGAGAAAGAGCTGATTGAGAGAGAGAGAGAGAGAGAGAGAGAGAGAGAGAGAGAGAGAGAGAGAGAGAGAGAATATGTTTATTTATAAAAGCTATGTGTTGAACACATATACAGTCCCAGCAGTGCTGGCTGTTTGTAAAAGCTGCTGTTGTGTAGAGGGACTGCAACAGCAGCTGAATCTATTCCAACATAAATCTTGTTTCTTCCACCGCAAGCTTTCCCCTGGCCACACACACACACACACACACACACACACACACACACACACACACACACACACACACAGCACAGTATAGTACAGTAGACCCCTTATAAATAAATCTTTCTCAGACACACACACACCACACAAACTGCTGCATATTCCGCAACATGGTAGGAGAGATGAGGATGGACTACGAAAACCAGAGACGGTTTAATAACACACACTGTCTCTCTCCACTTCTCTCCCACAATCTAATGCCAGTAATCAATGTATCCTTAAATCACCAATCAGGAACTCCTTTAACCACCAGGATGATCGTTGACCAAGCTGCAGGGCAGGGCAGGACAGTAGCATTTATCAGGCTGCATTTCTGTTTTTCCCCATGTATAATAAGCAAATGTCTCTACTATCGGATTAGTATAAACCTAAGAATCTGCACTGAGGATGATTTGCCTCTCAATTGCATCTTCTGGGTTTTATCAGGCGCTACGGGGCGCTCCTGAGCAAGTGAAAAATGAATGGGCTCGTATGGAGCTTTTGTGTACAATCAGTTTGTAAAAGCTTAACTGCAAGTTGTATAGAAAAATGCACGTTTTCCCTGCACAGCATACCACATTTCAACACTGCTCTCACATTTTTAAGCGTTTCTGAAGTCATAGCAGTGTCTCATACGTTCGTGCTGTCAGTGAGCACGCAACACTTCACTCAGCCAATGAGTTGATCAGCTCGCCAACCAATCAGCACTCAATAGCAGTAATGCTAACCAATCAGCAATCAGTAGCAGTAATACTAGCATCCTACTGCCCTAGACCTGTTTTCTGTAGAAAAACGGAAACATACCGGTAAGTTTTCTTTAACTTTTCAACAGAATATATCCTTCTACTTTCCAAATTTAAAAGAGGTTCCCACACAAATGTGTTTAATTTTTTGGTTTTAGCCATTTAGTCCCATTCAGTCCCACTCATTGATGGGATTAATGAGAGAAATGGGAAGTGATCAGGCTTCCCTTAAACCATCTCTGGATAAATATGCTTCACCACTCGTAAATGATCAAATAAAGCTTATGTAGCCAACATTCGAGCATAGCTATTAACCATTTCAATAAGCAAATATAAGCTGAATTGCCCTGGCTATTGCTATAGCCCAGTCTAATTACAACATGATTTCCTTTAGCATACAGTCCTACATTCATTTTCAACAGAATTTGACAGAACTCATGGAAATGTACTGCAGCATTAGCAATGCATGAGGAGGAGATGTGAAAAATTATGGATCTTTGTATGTCTTGGTGAGCAGTGAGCTACTGAAGTTGCAGTATTGAACCGCAGCTCAGCAGCTGTTACAGTTTCTTCTCCACATAAAGAAGAGCAGGAGGAAGCATCGCCACTGTTTTTAACACTATAATTTGGGTGAAAAGGTTAAACAAGCATTGTATAATCTATCATCAAGCATCAAATATCAACCTTTACTAGCTAACAGAAACCCTGCTGCAGTGTGCATACTGTATCAATCTAAGATTACAGGAAGTCAATAAATACACTTTAGTTTGAGGTAAGGGTGGGCGATATGGCAATATGTTATCACAATATTTAATTATTTTGAGTTTTGTGAACAACTTTCAAAGCACAAAATGCACCAGTAAAGAGTAATGCTACATTTTAAAAAGGCTATGAACAACTATGAGTGCAGTGATTGTTTATCATTGTTCACAAAATACACTACAAACCCAATTCTAAAAAGATTTAGACAGTGGAAAAGTAAATATAAATAAAATGTAAATAAACATAGACTCTAATGATTTGCAAATGTTTTTGACCTATATTCAAACGAAAACAACATCAGCAACATGTTCAAAAAAGTTGGGACAGGGGTGAGTTCACTACTCTCATACATCACCTTTCCTTTTAACCACGTTCAGTAATCGTTTTGCAACTGAGGACAACAATTGTTGTACTTGTAAAAAAAATGATTTTTTCCCATCTTTACTTGATATAACACCTCAGCTGCTCAACAGCCCAGAGTTACTGTTGTTGGATATTGCACTTCATAATGCACCACTCTTTTTCAAAGGGAGACAGGTCTGGGCTACAGGAAGGCCAGTCTAGCACCTGCACTCTCTTACAACGAAGCCACACTGTTGTAACGTGCAGAATGTGGCTTTGCGTTGTCTTGCTGAGTTGCTGAGTCCCTAAAAAATGATGTTGTCTAGATGGCAACATATGTTGCTCCAAAATGCGTATGTTCCCCTCAGCATTTATGCTGCCTTGACAGAGGTACTGACAAGACTTCTCAGAAGTATTCCTGAGCCCATTTGGTTAAATTTATTAAAGAAACATATCTGTGATTAATTCAGTGCTGTCTTAGGGATTGAAGGTCACTGGCACTTTGCACTTTCTTGCAATTGTGTGATGATGCACATTGTTCTTGTACTGTTGCTTACACACTTATTCTCGGAGTGACAAATGAGCATTGGTGAATACTCCTGGTAAACATTCAATTTATAAACAATCATGATAGCATCACCTGATACGTATTCACCTGTTTACGTTCCCAGACTTACACTGCCACAGTGCCAACTTTTTGGAATATTTTGCCAGCATTAAATTTGGAATTAGCAAACATTTACAAAGATCAAACTTGATAAGGTAAAATATGAAATACCTCTTCTTTGTGCAGTTTCAATTACAAACCTGTTCACTATTCAATGATATCTGTTTTTCTTTGCCTTTCAACTATTGTCTCAGCCTTCTGGAACTGAGTTTGTATTTAAAAAGAAACAATCAACGAAAAATCAAACATTTAGTAAAAATTAAAGAACAAAATAGGATAACGCCAAAATGGGGTGATATCCAATCAGCTGCTTGTTATAGTTCATTCAGTTACTACACACTGATTGTTGCTGGTTACAGGTTGTTGTTAATCCAGTTGTTCAGTGGCAGTGCAGATGATACCCATAATATACTTGGAAAAGCAAATTGTGACAATATATAATGGTTATCGTTATAAATGTGGCCTCTCTCTAACAGAATTTCACATAACCTCTAAAAATGGTTAAAAGTGCAGATAAGAAAACTCCAGCTTTCAATATATCCACAACCTGGCTATGCTACCTGGCTATCAGTTTTTAACCAACTGCCCAATATGAAGCTAATATTCATGTTGAGGAAAGGCAATATGGCCTGTGGACTGTTTGTTTAAACTTGTTTTTCCGGGAAAAAAGTCAGGCAGCTATTACTATGGCCAGAAACAATGTGTGTGGGTGTTTGCTTTGTTAGTGCTCTGATATCATACCCACCACTGGCTTCCTTTCTCTCATATTATTTATTATTAACAGCTCAGATCTATAATACACTGCTATAAGACATTATCTGTATTACCCTCCAGCCTACACAAACTGGTGGACAGGCTTAGAGCTGGCAATTTATGTAAGCGCTGCACTAACATCAAAAACATGCTGATAAAACATCAATAAAAATATACGACTCAGTGAGTGTTTTTACACACCTCAGTTTCACTAAAGAAGTTAAAAGCAACAAAATGCACATGCGAGCATATAATTAATACACAGTGGTTAATAAACAAACAGCGGGAGGTAGGTAGCATGGATGTCCAACTAAAGTAAATTCTATGCAACTATGGAAGGACAGAGATCTATCTGGGTGGGTTTGTGGATGGATAGACATCTATCTGGATGGATGATATTTTTCTGGATAGATGGAATCTATATATCTGGGTGGATGGATGGATGTATAGATGGATGGATGGATGGATGGATGGATGGGTATCTACCTGGGTGGACGGATGGACAGATGGACGAATATCAACCTGGATTTACGGATATCTATCTAGATGGATGGAAAAACTCCTCTTTATAGAAAAGGAATAAGCCAGTAGCATAGGTCTGATGATTGTTTATAACAGATAACTTTAGCATATAAATTGAGGAGAGATGTGTTTGTGTGGTTTTATGGGAGATGGAAATGTAATCAGAAAGACAGCATTAAAAACTATAATAGAATAATTCTACCCAAGAAGAAATAAGGGACAGATATTACTCTGATGCTTCATCTAGACATCCTAGGGGTGCAGTAATCCACTCAGTCCATAATTTGATTTTATTCACAATACTGGATTCACAATTGACTGATGAATAAAACTAGAGCTGGGACAGAGGACATTCAGAGCTACTGTCTACTTATAGATGGTAATTACTGAATGAATCTACAGCACAAAAATACCACATGCATGCCCTATAAAACTACTAAAATGATAAAGTGAATGAAATCATGTGCAACGTGAAATTGATCCAAAAACATTCAGACGTCTTATGGTAAGATACAACTAACGAGCTAGTTGGCTTCATAGAAGGTACTAACCACTAGAGGATACTGAAAATTAACATTTCAGTTTCAGAACCGTTAAGGAAAATTAAGTTTTTGGTTATATTTAGCAAACTACTGTTCATTTTTCATGTTCGTGCCTTCAATCAGTTTGGAGACAACAACACTGAAACTGGTGTAGTGTGAATAGAAATGCTAACATGGACAACATTGACCATTAGCATGCTAATAAAGCAAACATCTGGTTTTCACTTTCAGTCACAGCAGCTTTGTTAGCCAAGCTATCATTTTAAAGACATCTACACACTGAACACAATGCAAATAAACATCACGAAAATACATAATAGTTTTTTGTGCTGTGAAAAATACAAAACAAACGAGCAGACTGTGTAAGTGCAAAGAGATATTCTTTACTCCTCAGAAACTGGGCAAATGGTGATGCCGGGTGGTTATGTTCCATTTTAGAAAAGTAAAAGAAAGACAGAAAGTTGTCCCACCTCATTAAGGAGCCAAAACTTTACAAGCTCTTTCACGCACAGCTTGGATGTCTGGGTGTCTAGAATTCAGTTTAAGCTGCCTTTGGAGCTCCACACATATGGAGCACAAAGAAAAAAATTCTGATGATGGTTAAAAAAATGTACAGATTGCTAGGAGACAACCATTCAATTATCTTGGTTGTCACAGTGCCAATGCTAGAGACAACACTGATTAATCAAATGAGCTCATGTTGTTTATAAACAGAGGGAAAATAAAATATTGCTTATTGGCATGAAAATAAACTGCAGGAAAAACCATGTTTGGCGAGTATAGACATTAAGACAAAGTATAAATAAACGAATAAACAAACTCAAGCACAGTGCCAACTTCACTGTTTATATTTGTCTTTAAGTATAGGCCTTTAAATCTAAAAGGTTTTATGTACAGTACTGTGTAAAAGTCAGAGACCAGGAGATATGTCTGAGGACATTAAATATAACATAACCGGTCCACTAGCACGAGAGAGAAAAATAAGTGAAAAAACAGGAGTTCCCAAAGCTGCAGTTAAAAGAAAACTATTAAAAGATACAGAGAAAATGGGACTCCTAACACCTGGTCAAGACCTGGTAGCCCACCAGAACTGACACCATCAGATAAAATGTATTTAAAGCCTTCATCTTCGAGAGAGAGGAGAAATTCAACCTCCACTCTTACTTCAGATCTGAAAAAATTCACAAGCGTTTCTGTCCATGTAGTTGTCAAGAAGCTGTTACAAAGAACACAGACAATAAGGAAGAAAATCTGCAAATCAAACAAAGAAGCTGCTGGTGTTCTCAGAACAATGGACTGACCTCCCCAGTGGCCAGACCTCAACATCACTAAATGTGTTTGGTATTACTTGGACTGTAGGAAGCCGGAAGTGAAACCAACTTTTAAGACTGAACTTTGGAGGTGTGGAAAAATATCCTTGCAGATTTCTTTGAAAAGCTGAAATTAAGTCTCCTGAAAAGAATGGATGCTGTAATAAAGGCAAAAAATGGACACATTTAATACTGAAAAAATTTATACTGTATTTCGTTGTTCAGGCTTCTGTGTAATTTTCTTCCTACCTGTTCTCTGTTTTTTTTTCCTGACACTGAAAAATGGACAACTTGTACTTAATGGCAGTTTTGACTGGAAATTACATCACTGAAGGGCCTCTGACTTTTGCACAGTATTGTATGTGTGTGTGAAGATGAGTGTGGCAGTGTGGGTATCAGAATCTAATTAACCAACACAGTCACACAGTCAGCTCCCCTAACACACTGCCAATTACGCTGGCCAATTACAATGGCCAATGTCCAAACTGGACACGACCAGAGAGAGACCATTAAACACACACACACACACACACACACACACAGAGGGCACAGCTAGAAAGGCACTGAAAGCAGAGTCATATTACTACAGGAAAATCAGCCTTCTGGTGGTCTATGAGAGGAAAGTAAATGCTGAATTCAGCGAAAGAGGAGGCTGCATGAGTCTAATGACAAAACATACTGCACACATACTTTCCAATCAAAAAAACTCATGCTGAGACAATCACGGCTGCACTGAGAAAGGATGGCTGCATTTTGGCTTTAAACTAATGAACTTCCAGCAATGCTTTATTACTGTAATATAGACCAAAAGGCATTATGTAACAGCAATAACAAAAATAGCAATAATAGCATGTTTGCACTGAACAATATATTTCCCAGTACAATTGTTTGGTCAAGTATGTTTTGTTTTGTTGATTTTCGAAGTGGAAATAGGTTAACACATCCTTTAAGGGAAACAAACCTTTTCTGCAAAATTTTAAGGGGACAACTTCTATTTTTTCCTGAGTTTATAAAGGCAAAACGTGCTGTAACTTTTGCACTGACCACATTTAATCTTATTTTCCCCAATATGATAAATTCAGCAAATAAACATTAATTGTGCATTAAAACATGCAGTGCTTGTAGAGAAATGGTTAACTTATTTTCACTTAGAAAACCAACACAACATGTAAGTTGGCCAGGGACGCCCAAACTTTTAGATACAACTGTATCTTACTGAATAAAAGGGAACCGTTAGCCACTCCTAATTTTTGTTATGTCATGAAGTGTCAGAAACCACATAATCAAGTCTATTTAGGATTATTGAACAACTCAATATGGATTGAGAAACGTGTGATGATGATGCAGATCACTAGAAACATTTTCAGTAGAAACATCTCGATGCTACCAGTCCTATCAATAAATACACTGACGTAGAAGTAAACTGGACCGTGATGGGATTTAATTTATAACTGCAGCACTTATAAAACTCAAAAGAACCCACACATCTGGTTGGGATGAAACATCTGCTTGGGATGAAACATCTGCTTGTAATAGGTTCAAGTGGAAATATCTGGCCTTTATTCGGTATGAAAGCAATGCGAGATGGAAGAGGAGTGCAGGTTTTTTCTATATTTTTTCAGTCTCACCTTCTCATATCTGGCTACGATCTCAGCCCGCTCCTGATCCAACTTCACTGCAGCATCCTGCTCTGCATCAGACGCTGGACACAGAGAGAGAGAGACAGATGGTAAGCTGTTACTGTTGTTGAATATGTTCACCTTAAATATGATACAGTACTGTCAGAAGTCTTAGGCAGCAATGAAAACTGTTTAAAATGTTTTAAAGAAACTGGCTGCCATGATTTTTTTTTTTGTATTTCTACATAATTCAATCAAGGTGTAAACAAAGTCATTCAGAGTGCTTTGATGTGAAGAGGTTTATTGAAGAGAAACTTACTGATTCTGATTTCTTTATAGTGGTGATGATAGGAACCAGAGGTTATGATGTCTACAACACATACATACATACATACATCATCTAAACCGCTTATCCTTCTGGGTCGCGGTGGGGTGCTGGAGCCTATCCCAGCTGTCATTGGGCGGAAGGCAGGATACACCCTGGACAGGTCGCCAGTCCATCGCAGGGCAGACAGACAGACAGACATACACAATCACACACTCACTCACACCTAGGGGCAATTTTAGCACGTCCAATCAGCCTGACTGCATGTTTTTGGACTGTGGGAGGAAACCGGAGTACCCGGAGGAAACCCACGCAGACACGGGGAGAACAGGCAAACTCCACACAGAAAGGACCCTGGTCGCCCAGCTGGGAATCGAACCCAGGCCATTCTTGCTGTGAGGCAACAGCGCTACCCACTGCGCCACCGTGCTGCCCGTCTACAACACAAATGTAGCCATTTTATTTACTATCCAAAATGACCAGTGAACCTACATGTGTTTTCTGAATGTTTATATGTAATGTTGATAATGGTAAAATAGTGGTATCTGAAAATATGTTTCTTTTGGGGACTATTTTTGATTTTACCATACCCTGCATATACTTCAAAAATAAGCTTCAGGCCAAGTTCCATGAAACAACGTCTCAGGCATCAGGCAACATATTTGTAACTGTTCCAAGTAACAGCTTTCTGTGAGAGAGCATTTAGATGCAACTCTTCAGCCGTCTGGTTCCTATCACCACCACTGTGAACAATTCAGTAAGTTTCTTTAGAATGGAGCCAAACCATCAAACAATCTTAGTAATTTATTTAAGCAAAAATCTTGAAAAGCTGGTGGAATTTCCCTTTAGTGTTGCCTAGCAATGGCCACTCAATTGGTCAAGAGTGTCTCCTCTATCACCTTGAGCCAGTATTATTTATAAGAACAGTGCATTCATAAACTGGCATTCATTTTTTCAACCCTCCAGCTAGTTTCACAGACATATAGCAAACAAAAACATAAGTAATAGAAGAAAATTCTATATACATTTTAACATGATTATTTCTTCTTATTTTGCTTGTCACCCCAGCGCCCATAATGGACGAAACAACCCTGTAAAGCATTCACTGTCTATGCTTTGACAATGTTGTACTTTACATAGCCATGAAATTAAAGCTGGCATAAGCCTGGAACTGAACTGAGAAACAGAAGTAATGCTCAGTAACAGACATTTAAGCTGTTTTCACTTGTTAACTCATTCACTATTCACAATCCAGAGTTTGCTAAAGAGTAAACTGACTGGAGAACGACCCTGGAACGGCAAAAGATATATCACTGAACTACAGTTGTACGCAAATAATTGGGCACCACCGGCCAAATTACATATCACGTTGTTGTAAACACAAATTCCACAGCAAACAATTTAAAAAAAAAGTCACTTTATTTCAAATGGTATTCATAGTTACTTTAGATTTTAATAGCTTATAAAACAGAAAAAATTAAATAGTAATTGTGGCATGTACAAAAGTTTGGACACCCTTCAAACTGTAAAGTCTCAGAACTTATCTGACTCATTAGGTCTGGTTAGGCAGGTCAAGAATTGTTATTAGGAATTATCAGCTGTTGACATTTCCAGAGTGTTATAAATTCTCTCACTCTTCAAACCGTGTGCTAACACTCAACATCCATGGGCTCCTCTCAGCAGCTGGCTGACAATCCAAAAATGAAACTAACTGATGCCTACAGAGCAGGAGAAGGCTATAAAAATGATCAAAGAGCTTCCAGCTTGCAGTTTCCACTGTCGAAAATATCATTACGAAATAGCTTTAAAGGAAAGCTGTGGAAATCAAGGCATCTGGAAGACCAAGACAACTCTCAAAAAGAACTGCTTATATGCCGTATCTGCATGGAAGAGTCATCAGAAAAAAAAACGACCTGCAACCTCATCACAAAAGTCTGTCCAACAGCAGAATCTAGATACACTAGAAGCATTTACTAACAGAAGCATTAATAACTAGTGCTGGGGACTTATAAATGAAATTCTTTGGACACAATCAGCAAAAGTATGTTTGCAGAAAAAGGAGTAGCATTTGATGAAAAGAACACCTTGCCAACTGTTAATTATGGGGGTGGATCTATTATGATTTGGGGTTGCGTGGCAGCCAGTAGCAAAGGAAACATTGTATGGGATTTACGAATTCCACTAAATATCAGCAAACACTAGAAGCAAATGTGACATAGTCAAGTCAAGAAACTGAAAAGAGGCAGGACATGAACCAAAACACCTCAAAATCCACCATGAACTACTTCAAGAACAGTAAGCTGAAGTTTCTGGAATGGTCCTTGACTTGAATATCACTGAAAATCTGTGGGTAGGTCTTAAATGTACTGTACAAGCAAGATGGCCCAACAATATCATACAATTTAGAAGCGTTTCACAAGGAAGTGATTGTAAGTGCAGTTTCAGTTACATTCTCAGAGTTATTTATTACAGCCATGTTTACTGTTTGTTTATTTTCCAGGCAGGTTAGGTTGCTACCTTATTTAGTGAGTCACTGTCATACACTAGCCGACAACAAATAGGTTCACGCTCTCGCGCACGCACACACACACACACACACACACACACACACACTCTCTTTAATCTAATTACTGCAACCACAGCCACTGTATACAGGAAACCTCTCACCTAACAAGTCAGTCTCTAATGGACACATAGAACAGCTGGCTGTGTGTGTGCGTGCACGCGTGTGTGTGCGTGCACGCGTGTGTGTGTGTGTGTGTGTGTGTGTATTGATCCAATTCTGTTGGCTAAGCAAAGGGTAGCTTCATTAATGAGAGAGAGAGAGAAAGAGAGATAGAGAGAGAGAGAGAGAGAGAGAGAGACAGAGAGACAGAGAGAGAGAACGAGAGCAATTCTCACATCTGCACCTGCATGAAGACTGAACGAGCTGATAAAGAGAACAAGGGATGAGGAGATGGAGGAAAGCATGGGGGGGATGGAGTTTAGTTTCATTTCCTTCGTGTAGGTGGGCATCGGTCCAAGTCCCTGGATTTCACTCAGGCACCGATGTGGTCGATGTGGACAGAGGTTTGTGCCCATGAAAAGTTAACACAACTCTGAACAGGACACATCTGAGACTGATCACTGCGCACACAGCACTCTTAAAGAAGAACAGCGCTGCTCATAGTCTTGTATTCACTATATGGCAAGATGGTGCCAACTATCATACAACTCTTCTCAGTTACAGTCTGACGGCCATTCTGCAGTCTCAATTTTTGTACCTTTAATGTTGAATGCCTAAAAACGAGAATGTTAACATTACTTTCAGGCACTCATTGTGCTGGCTGTATCTTATCGAACTGAATTATGATTTTTTTTTTATTTAACTTAATTTTCTGAATTATGAATTTTATTACAACTCTAGATAACTAGTTGTCAGGCTGAAGAACAACAAACTCTGCTTACCAACTACTGTTAGCTAGTCAAGCGACATGCTAGATATTTACCTGTTCTGCACACTGTGATAACAATGAGCTGTTTGGAGCAAACATTTTTTTTTTCCTGGCAATAAAGTCTACAAATACTTCCAAAACTTTCTTTAACAATACAGACACAGCACTGCCTAGTTCTATACAGGTATTATTATTGGAGCACTGTTTTGACAATCATCTGCCACTTGATGTCAAAAACAGAGCTTTGTGATTTGCATGTCAGTCAAACTGTCCCCCTTCTTGTCAAAGTAAACAGTTCTTTGCCATGCTGAGAGATGAAACTCACCAGAATCTCTGACGATAGCCGAAAGTTCTTTCCTTGTTCAAGTTCTTTATACACACACTCTCTCTCTCTCTCTCTCTCTCTCTCTCTCTCTCTCTCTCAAACACACACAGAGTAGTAATTTGGATTTTTATGGGTGAGAAGTACTCAAAAAACAAAGAGAAAAGAAAAGAAAAAAACAAGATGAGAGAAAAGGAGAGGAGAGGAGACAATAGAACAAAAATGAAAAGACGATAGAAAAGAAAAAAGAAAGAAGAGAAGAGAATGGTTTCTATGGAGAAGGCTGGAGAAGCTGGTTTTAGCCTGTTAATGCTCTTGCTGGCATTTTAGTATTCAATCAGCACTCTCCCTCTTTCTCGCTCCCAGCATTGGGCTGACGGCTAACACTGTGTCTGTGTGTGTGTGTGTGTTAGTTTGGCAGGGTGAAGTTCTGAGAATTCCATCAGCTCTTGTGACTGGGGCTAAAAACATAATTGTTCATTAATATTCTTTGCTAAAACTACTGAATCATAACTTGTCACTGTGAGCAAAATAAAAAAAAATGACAGGAAGGAACAGCAGGTCTTTAACTGAGACAAAAAGCAGCTACTTCTGCCTTACAATTCACTATTCTACTTTAATAACATGCTGCTGTTGCATTTATTTTGATAAGTAAAGAATGTGACATAATAAAGCTGAAAATTCATACATTTTTAGTGTCACAAACGACCATTTTAATCAAGCAAACAGATGCACAGAGTATACAAAACTCATTTTTGGAAAAATCGGGACACTTCATAAAATGCAGTACGAACAAGAATCTGCGATTTGTTGATTCTCTTTAACCTTAACTGACACAAGTACAAAAAGGATTTCAATGTTTTCACTGACCAACTTCATTGTATTTTGTAAATATAAACAAGTTTAGAATTTGATTCCTGCAACACATTCAGAAAACTGGGACAGAAGCATGTTTGCCACTGTGTAACATCAACTTTCCTTTTAATTACATTTTTAATTGCC